CTGACGGCTTATCAGCTCTCTGAAACAAACACACTACTTGTATGAGAGCGCGCACACTGAGAGCGGAGCTGAAAGCTGATAAGGTCAGCTCCGCTCCGCTCTGTTTGATCAACCAAACATGTTTGATTTAGTTAGCAGCTGACGCGAGCTGATTTTTTAGACTATTCTTTAAAAAATTGCCCTAATTAGCGCTTAAGTAACAGAAATTTAAATTTCTGTCCAGTTATATAGAAAAGTATGAAGAATTTTTTTAATATTTATTAAAATAAAAATATTGTCAACTTTCCGAGATATAGGGTGCCAAAGTACACTAAAAAAACGTACTTTGTCAACCATATTCTGGAGAACTGGGTGGTCCGATTTCGAAAATTTAAATGTCATGATGATCTAAATAAATATGTCATCGCATTAACAACGATATTTTAAAAATATTAAAGAATTAAAATATGTTTTTTTTTAAACGTATTGCTTGAAAAACAATTACAAATCAACATCAGCTTCAGCTCGCAGTGTGCGCGGCTGCAAAAAGCTCCGATCGCTGATAAGCTTTCCGCGGATAAGCTCTCAGCCGTCAGCTCCGCTTTCTGCTCGTAGTGTGCGCGCGGCCTAACACACACACACATACGCACGTAGAGCAAATGTTATTAGCTGTTGAAACTGTTATTTCCCCTTCTCTCTTTATCTCTTACTCGTTCGCTCTCACTCCTGCTGATTCGGTCTCTCTCACTCCCCTGCACACTGAAGGATGGGATGTTTATTGCGGTTGGCGGCGTTTTGGATAATGCACTTGATCCGCTGTTAACGCTCGCAAATTGCAATCGCAGTGCGCGGCAAGGGAAGGATTGTCGATTTTTGCGTAATTCCTGGTTATCTGCATTACCCTTTGATGGATTGATGGATGCCAAAACGCGCACAAACACACACAACTTGACTGAGGAAAATTGCACAAATAACTGAATTCAAATATTCCCTCCCACACACACACACATACACACGCAGAAAGAGAAAGAGATGGGGAAAGAGAGGATGAGCATTTTGGCTTGCTTATTTTTCGTTCAAAAATTTCTTACAAATTTTAGCTAAAACCCGAAAAAAATGAGTGACGGAGTGCAGTCGAGTGCATTTTAATTGATTTTTTCTTTTCCTTATTTTGTTAGCCACTCTTTCTCAGCTTTCTCTCTGAGAGAGCAGGCGACTGAGCGAAAGCAGGACGGCCCGACATCCGGCATCTCGCTCGGGCTCACGTTGCGTATGCGTAACATTTGCAATTGCATTGCTGCATTCCACCTGAGTGAGTTTCTTGAGTGAGTTTGTGACTGAGTGAGTTAGTTTCTCGTTGGGACGATCTCCTCGTTGCGAAATCGTAAGTTTTAATTAGCTTTTTGCTCCTGCCGTAATTTTGACAGCAAACAAAAGTTGCTGCTGCAGCATCAAATTTTTAATTAATTACATGTAAAAATGCTGAAAAATTGATGGCCCTTTCCCCATCCGTTCTCCGTTTCCCTTTTAGACAAACAATTAGCATTTCACTGTCCCAAAAATAATGCAAAAAGTAAATGAGAGCCGCGAGAGCCCTCGAAGTGAAAGAAGGAAAGAAAGTTTGTCCAAGTTTTCTGAGGGATAGCTTTCATTTTTTATCTAAGGCTATGATGGGTGGAAAGGAGAGCCGTTCTTTGGCTATATAGGTATAGGCAAACTTTTTAATATGAAAATTGCTCGTTTGGGGTCGAGAAAATTAAGTGCTTGGATTGGGGCCTGGGGAAATGGACCCTTTCGCCTTGCGATTGATTCAGGTCTTGCAAGTAAATGGATACGTATTTAACTTTGATGGAATTTCCTCAAATGAATACTATTATGGGGGGGTCTTTAAGGATGTTTTCTTTTTACCTTTGACGTAATTTATCCAGGAAAATTGTCTTTCATTTATGGAGCCCTACTTTTATAACATATTTTGTAATAATTTCCTTAAAGTACATATATGTACATATATAATATTTAGAGAAAACATTTTACTTTAAAGTGCCTGACTTTTCCTAAGTAATATAATATAATATATTTTATAATTATACAATAATACTTTACACAATGGTATCATTTACATAATGTAGAAAAAATAATATATAGTTATAATAAAAATTTGTCATTGATAAACAACAAGCATCTGTATAAAAATTTAATTCTTTATTAACTAATCTATCCGACGGCCTTATTTGTCATTGTAAACTATTTATATTTGTTACGCTTTGTAAGCTAATTGTGAGAACTGAATAAGTAATTTAGCTTGTTGTGACGAATTAAAGCGTTTGAGTAGATTTCCATACATATGTATGTATGTAAGTAAATATTCCATATATATTTTCAACAATTATTAAAGATTTTTATACATTTTTGTAGAGAGAAACTAAAACTAATGAAACCATTACTTTAAGGGGGTTTCCTGAATTAGGAGGCAAAAAAAATCGATTTTTTTTTTATTGCTTAAATCGATAGATAAACTATCTAAGAATATACCACAAAAATTTCAGAAGCCAATTCGAAGTATTTTCGAAGATACAGAGATGAAAGCAAAGGAGCGCCGGGTAGGTTTGCAGGCGCTTGGCGAACTTTGAGGCCCGTTTTCTCACTTTTAATTTTTTACGATTCTTTCGAATTGGCGGGAAAGATAACAAAAAAACTTATTGACCGATTGAAACGAATAAAGGCTTATTCTCTTTAGAATTGAATTCTCTTCTATTTGAACTAAAACGGTTGTTGAAAACCGCTTTTTATATTTTTTACAGCATGTTAAAGTCAATATTTTATCCCGAAAAATGAAATATTGACTTTAACATGCTGTAAAAATATAAAAAAGCGGTTTTCAACAACCGTTTTAGTTCAAATAGAAGAGAATTCAATTCTAAAGAGAATAAGCCTTTATTCGTTTCAATCGGTCAATAAGTTTTTTTGTTATCTTTCCCGCCAATTCGAAAGAATCGTAAAAATTAAAAGTGAGAAAACGGGCCTCAAAGTTCGCCAAGCGCCTGCAAACCTACCCAGCGCTCCTTTGCTTTCATCTCTGTATCTTCGAAAATACTTCGAATTGGCTTCTGAAATTTTTGTGGTATATTCTTAAATAGTTTATCTATCGATTTAAGCAATAAAAAAAAAAATCGATTTTTTTTGCCTCCTAATTCAGGAAACCCCCTTAAGGCATTTTTATTAAATTTCAAAAGTTTCGACCCAATTCTGTTTGCCTTAACTCCATCCATACTAACAATCCTAAAAGAAATTACAATAAAAATATAAAAACTCACATAAACTATGAAATAAATTAAATAAGTTTGAAAGCGATTCAAAAACAAACTGCAAGGCCGATTGCGAGTCTTAAGATCCCACTCAAACTCAAACAGGGTGCCTTGCAAATCCGTGCACTTCCTGGTTTGAGCATGCGCCAAATATAGCTGGCGAAAAACTCACTCAAGGGGGGTGCAACAACAATGCAACACCTACGCGGCACAAAAACACACCTGGACAACCTGAAGTAATGCGGCAAACAAAGAGAGAAAAACAGAGAGAGAGAACCCCAAACAAGGGGTAAGAGAGAACGCCAGCGGACGGAAAACAAACGTCAGCTGCATGAGAATCCAGCGGCAGGAACTTTGGCACAATTGTGCGACAGTCGCCATTGTTGGCCAGTGTAATGAAACACACCTACATGTGTGTGAGTACAGTACAGGGAAAAGGTTCTAAAACATTTATGAATGAAATTGTGTATACTTTTCGGGCACAAATGCAGAAGCATGCACTGTAAAAATAGTCTAGATCACTTCTGAAACATCAATAGTGATTTCAAGTCTTTAAATATTTAAAAATGGTATTTATATTCAGAATTTATTATAATATTTAGTATTGTTTTTTGTGATTAGAAATCTTTGTACTTTTATATTAGGAGGGGTTACGAAATTTTCTGCGGTTTTTAAATCAATTGTAAATGAGTCGAAAATAAGGCAACAAAATATTTTAAAATTTTTTTAACTGTTTACAAAGTGTTTCTAGCACACTAAAGTTTTAAATATGTAAACATTTAATCTTTCGCACTTTAAAAACGATTCATTTTATTTTATTGCATACTTTTTAACTGATTTTTATGTGATTTCAAATGGCTTACAGTAGGGAATACCTTACAAAATCTCCTCTTTTAAAATTTTTCTATGTGTAATCGCTTTCTACTTTTGTGGGGACATGAAAATATTTCCCCAAAATAGGGCCTTAAAATTTGTAAATGTCCCAAACGTGAGGTAACAAGGGAAAAGCCAGACTCCACCCCTCTGAGATTAGTAGATTCGCCAAATATTTCCGCCAGCGTCATGCATCGCTGGTGAAAATTCGGCATCGAGAGTCCTTCACAATGAACTCTCGGCCAGCAGCCAAGCTAATCGCTGTGGAAAATCCAATACCTGGTGGTATAATCATATCCGTGCCATTATGGTTGACCTCATCCGAAGGGCATTGATGAGCATTGACCACGAGGCAATGAACCTCAAAGAGTGGAAACCACCGGCCGCAGCTGGGAACGCACATGACTAAGCCCACCATGAACCAATTGTTTTTTTGTAAGACTAATGACTGTGTTTACGCCAAAATAAAAGGTGAACCCCTAACGAAAAAAGCGCCTAACTAATTCAAATTGAAAGCAAAACGGCTATCAGAATCTGGGGGATGAGTAATCTGAGCCGATTAGCCCATAAGGGCATAAATAGTTTTGTTTATGTTTTGTTTTGTTTTGTTTAAATACATTCGGGATTTTCGATTCGCCGAAAAATTGCGTATACGCCGCTTGGGTCATGCACGAACGAACAAACCGAGCGGCCACTGATGGGCGGCCGATTAAGCTCCATTAAAAAAGCGTTTTATGCTTTATAAATCGCCAACGTTCGCTGGCCTGCAGCTCCATATAAAAACAGTTAATGCCGGGAGTTTTGGCATTCAGTCAACGTTCGAGGATTACACACAGCGAAACCATGTCGGCGAAACAGACTAGCAGTTGCCTCTGGTTAACTCTGATCCTGCTGGCCATGTTTTTACACTCCTCCGAGTGCCAGTACTACGGATATCCCTATTACGGCGGTGGTGTGGGGGCGGGAGCCGGAGCGGGCTCTGCGTACGGAAACATTTATGGCAACGGCGCGTACGGAGGATACCCCTACGGCTATGGCGGATATCCATACTACTCGACGTACCCCAGCTACGGCTACAACCCGTACTCGATGTACGGCGGATACGGGCAGTATGGGTATCCCTCGTTTGGCGGATATCCCTACGGGGGCAACGGCATGAGTAAGTATTCCGTGAATTCCTAAACACAGCCCCAATTCCTTCACCCGCATAATCTACAAGTGTTCTGGACCTGTTTCCTCCTCTAGGCACGGCCTACGCCAGCAGCAGCGGAGGATTTGCCACGGCCAGTGCGGGCAACGGCGGATACTACGGCTGATACAGTGTCCAGTGACCAGAGATCAGTGATGTGCTCCAAGCACCCTAGCCTAGTTTAGCTGTAAATATTAGTTAAGTCTTTCTCCTACTATGTTTAGTGTTTTACCTGTAATAAATACACAAAGTATTTCATCAGGGTCTTAACAAGTGTTCATATCATATTATATTTCTAAAAACATTAGGTAGATATGTTAGATATGTTTACATTAAATGATGCTTAAAAAAATGTACTTGAATTTGTAAATAATTAAAAAGAAAAAAACTATTAAAAAGTATTGTTTTCATGTGTTCTTCTTGAAAGAAAATATGATAATGGTGTCTCTTGTCTTGTGCTTTAATAAAGTTTCTTATATATTTAAATTTAAATACATAGGTAATTTCAGAAAATTATTGTGACTTACTAAGCCACTGAATTATTAGACTGTTAAACTCGCGTCTGGCCTAAAGAGTTGGTCCATTTTGATTTCACAAATTCATTTAATTGCGCAAATATTCATACATATTCATACATCGTTATTGTTTATCTAGTCTAGTCAACGTACAAGATGACACTTTCTAGAAAATACACCGAAAATGTTGCTGTATAAATCATTAATTATAATTATATTTAGTCAAGTTTAACATTTTTATTGTTAAATAAAATGTATATGTTTCCAACAACAAATTAAAAAAAAAACGATGTTTTCCACCTCTAAAGCGCGATATTTATCGATATATATAACGATATTTAATAAAATTAATCGTTTGTTTTCCACGATGGTTTTCTTGTACGTTGTATATGAAAACCATCGATAAAAAAAGCTACCATCAATAAAAAAAATAGCTACGCCGAGTTGCCGGACTTGTTTATTGTTTTGTAAACAGCTTTTCCATTGGTCTGGTCACCCTGACTTTATATCGGATATCGGTGCAACCCGCCTGTTCGCTACAGTGATTTTTAAGTAAATGTTGCGTTTTATTAACTTGAAAATAATAATAAGGCCCAATTAACAATACAGTGGTTGAAATGGTAAATGCGTGGTGAATTTCAAAGGTTAAAAAGTGTATATTAGTATATCTGAGCCCCAGACATAAAACCTATCGTTATCGGCCGTTGGGCCAATAGTCAAAATTATTTCGACCAGTCTCAAAACACAGAAATCGCAACAAAAACACGGACGTCGCGCTGCTCTCCCCAAAATCCGCCGCCCGCCGTCGCTGAAACTAACAAAAGTAAGCGAAAAAAAATAAAAGCGAACACCATCAAAAAAGAAATCAAATTAAAGGTCGAAAATGGGATAAATTGAAAGCGAAATGGGGGAAGGCCGAGAGAGGACACAAAAACATTGCATTGCGTAATTGGGGACAACAGCTACATGGCCAGCAGCAACAACAACAAAAATCGGCAGCAAAACAAGCTAAAACCAAGTGAACTGGCTGCATTCTAATGCGCCTGTGTGTGCGCCGTGCTGTGTGTGTGTGTGTGTGTGTGTATCTGCAACTGAGTAGCAAATTTAATGAATTTTATTACTTGCCCTCAAAAAAAGCCACTTGTGACATACGTTTCTCTGGTAAAAATCAATCAGTGAAGTTTAATATTAAGCACTTGACGAACAATGCAGAGAAAAAAGTGCTTGCTCCACATTTTTGCTAGACTTCTCCCTCACTCTCGACATCTCTCTTTCCCGCTCGCGCGCACCGTGGGGTGTTTTGCACCGCTCTTGCATCCCCCTTCGCGCCGGCCTTTGTTCACGACGCTTAATTTCATAAATCAAGGCAGCGTCAGTTAAAAAACAACAAGAACTACTAGCTCTTGTCAAGTCCCCTACACATCCCCCTTCTACTTTCGACAATGGGAAATTTCCGTAGCCAGCGTACAGTGGATAAAAGATATTAAAAAGAACATTAAAAAGCCATTAAAAGAATCAAAGAGTTCATTGGCCCGGTTTCTTGGCTTTAAGTGCGATCAAATTATTTGCTACAAGCGTTTTCAAGGTTTTCGGTAAATTAAAAACTCGGATTTCAAAGTAAATCGATTTTAAAAGTATATATTTGTACATTTAATATTATTAAAAAGGACATAAAAGTCTTTTAACTAGATTTTATATATTTTTTAAATTGACTTAATAATAATAACAACTGAAAAATATTTTTAAAACTTTTACTATATTATACAATTTTTCCGAAATTTTTTTTCCAAATTCACTAGAACATATATATTTTAGCAAGTCCAAAGTTTAATAATTTTTAACAACACACCCGTGCTTTCATTCCACTGTGCGCGTACGTAGACACAAACAGCTGATGCTTGTCAAATTCACATACATACATACATACAAACGTGCACGTGAGCGTGTGTTGGTGAGCGAGGAGGGAACTTGGATATCGATAAAAACAAGTAAACTTGCACAACCTTTTTGCTCCCAAAGTTCAGAATATATCAGATCGCAGTGCCCGAAAGTAGAAAAAGTTGGTAATATTACGCGAGGCAGTGTGTGTTGTCTTATCAGCGTTCAGCAGGGGGCGTGTGTGGCGGTGGCTTCACGTTTGGCCGCTTATCAAAATCGGAATCACGCGACTAGCCGCGGACCCCCAACGAATTGCCAAGGTCGCTGATAAATAAGAACTAATCAAATGTTTTATATTTCGTTTCGCCCCGCGCTGTCGCTGTGTCTACCTTGCTGGCTTATCGCCCAGATAGCTGAGTTCTAGGTGGAACGTGCCATTGAAGTCGAGGAATCCAGAGAGTGAGACACAAGGCACCTTATATAATCCGGCAGCGAAGGAGACAGGCCCTCAAATCCCCACAAGATGTTGCGAATGCTGCATAATTCATCCCTCATATGCGCCAGCCTGCAGCTGGGCGTGTTGAAGAAGTAAGTAAAGGCCAAGATGAGCCTTTCCATGACTAATAATACTTTTATTCATTTAATAAATTTAACATTTTCACAGCTCCACTCGCAGCCTGGGCTCAGTTTTGCCTGATCTGAAACTGAAGGATTTCCCCATTGTTAATGAACCGATTCTGACCTATCGCAAGGATTCAACAGAGCGCAAGGACTTGGTGCAGGCTCTCAAGAAGACGGCCTCGGAATGCGCAGAAATTCCCATTGTGATCGGCGGCAAGGAGTACACAACATCGGAGGTGCGTTATCAGGTCATGCCACACGATCATCAGCACAAGCTGGCCAGATTCTACTATGCGGATAAGAAGCTTGTAGAGAAGGCCATTAAGACTGCCGTAAAGACGCAGCCCATGTGGGATCAAGTGCCGCTTGCGGATCGCTTGAAGATTTGGGAGAGGGCGGCCGATCTAATGGCGACCACATATCGCCAGGAATTGAATGCGGCCACCATGCTGGGTCAGTCTAAGACGGCTATCCAAGCGGAAATCGATTCGGCAGCGGAGTTGATTGACTTTATAAGGTGAGTTTAAGCCACAGACTTGCTTTATATATATTTATTAATATTCTTAATCTTGCAGAATGAATGCCTACTTTCTGAAGGAATGCGCCAAATATCAGCCCATCAGCGAGAACATTAAGGTCACAAAGAACTCCATGCGATATCGTGGCATTGACGGCTTCATCGCCGCTGTCAGTCCATTTAACTTTACGGCCATCGGCGGCAACTTGTCCTACACGCCAGCTCTGATGGTAAAGAAAAACCAGCCTTTCAGTTAGTCCTTAAATTTCCAATCAACTTACTTTTTCCTTTCCTTTGCCAAGGGTAACGGTGTCCTGTGGAAGCCATCGGACACGGCCATGCTCTCCAACTGGGTTATTTTTAAAATTATGCGCGAAGCGGGTGTGCCCGATGGCGTCGTTAACTTTGTGCCTGCCGATGGGCCCGTGTTCGGTGACACCATTACCGCCAGCCCCCACCTGGCGGGCATCAATTTCACCGGCTCGGTGCCGTAAGTAATTGTCGGTCTATTGATTTTCTGATCCCAACCCCGTTCCCACAGAACCTTCAATCGACTGTGGAAGCAGGTGGGCAACAACATTGACAACTACGTCAACTTTCCGCGCTTGATTGGCGAGTGTGGCGGCAAGAACTTCCACTTTGTGCACAAGTCCGCCGACGTTGAGTCGGTGGTCACATCAACGATACGCTCGGCCTTTGAGTATTGCGGGCAGAAGTGTTCCGCCTGCTCGCGCATGTATGTGCCGGAGTCGCTATGGCCAAAGGTGAATGGTGTCACTGATTGTGATGTTTACGCAGTGCTAACCTTTGCTAAACCCTCACCCACAGATCAAGGCCGGCCTGCTGTCCGAGGCACAGAAGCTGAAAATCGGCGACGTTCAAGACTTTAGCAGCTTCACATCAGCTGTGATCGATGACAAAGCATTTAAACGCATTACCGGCTACATTGAGCATGCCAAAAAGTCACCGAATCTGGAGATAATTGCCGGCGGCACCTACTCGGACAGCAAGGGCTACTTTGTGGATCCCACGATTGTGGTTAGCAAGGATCCCAAGGACCGAATCATGACCGAGGAGATCTTTGGCCCCGTGCTAACGATCTATGTGTACAAGGAGGCAGATCTGTTTGACACCATGAAGCTGGTGCACACCTCAACAAAGTTTGCTTTAACCGGAGCAGTATTCGGCCAGGATGAGTAGGGTTTCCTAATCGATTTCTTTATAAAATATATTAATTTATTATTTATTTTTAGGGAATGGGTTAAGTGCGCCCTCCAAGAGTTCAAAATGGCCGCTGGCAACTTTTATATCAACGACAAGTCCACTGGATCTGTGGTGGGCCAGCAGCCATTCGGCGGCGGAAGGATGTCCGGTACCAACGACAAGGCCGGTGGACCTCATTATATACTCCGCTGGACATCACCGCAGTCCATCAAGGAGACGTTTGTGCCGCTGCGCGATGTCAACTATCCGTACATGAGCGAATAAGCTGCCGGAGGAGGGACAGTGGGAGAGGCAGTATAGGGAGAAGAAGCTAAAAACCGACAGGAATCTCATATAACTACTAACTACATATATAACTATATATATAAATGTATTTTGTTGAACTATTTTTAAACAAAAGCACCCCCCCCCCCAATAAGCCCTCCTCACCGCGTAACACCTTCAACTAAGAATCTCGGAAATTACCAACCCACGAGAAAGCCTCGAAATCGTTGTAAATTGATATGCTGATATTATCTCTCGAACCCACACACAACGCAACTCTGAATACATATAGAAAACGAATACTATGTAAACTATTATTTACATACATTTATACACAAATGTGATTATTATTAATTATATGATTTATAATTACATGGCCCGTCTTTTGTTTTAAAGTCACCAACCTCGATGTTATTATTTGTATTTTGTTGTTGTAAAATATAAAGATATATGTATACACATAATACTTTATGTATGTACGTGTCGGAGATATCCGTTATTTAATTTAACCGTAGTCGAGCCAGCGAGTTCTGTTCGCCTGCGCAGTCAAATCGAATCTGTCATCACGCCACTTTTCCTGTGGCCCTTTCACCTTTTCTTACTTTTCACTCAGATGTCATTCCTAGACAATCTCAAGCTGTCTCTCTCATTCTCTCCTATTGTTGCGACAGACGAACAGACCTCACTCAGTAACACTCCTGTTACCGACTCAACTGTCATTGCGCCTGCGCGCCAGCGACACCTACAGGGCTACCAATACCTGAGCATGCCGAATAACTCTGTTGCCATAGCAACAAGCTTTCCAAATTTGCACTTAGCAACCAACTCGCCGACACGGCCATCCTGACAATTCACGCGTCCTCGCGTGACGTGTCTTCTAATAGCTCTAAACATAACTGTCATTTATCATTCTCTCTTTTTTTCTCTCTTTGGTCTCAACTTAACATTTCATTTTATCTGTTTTATTCATGTCAAATAAGCTTTACTTTTATTTCTTCTCGCCACTTCATTCTCTTCTCGTACCAAATCTGTATCTTCTTTCTCTGCTCGTACCACAACTCTTACTCAACATCTCTTCATCAATTTATACAGGCTCTTGCTGCACACTTTGCAACGCTCACACGCACCTCTTGCGTCACGGTCTCTCTGGACCCTCACAGCCTTATAAATGATTCCACCAACGAGTGCCTCAGTCGGCGATCTCTCGCTTACACTTCTAGTGTCTTCAAATGTTAGTTTGGCAGGATAACCTTTCGAAACCATAGAGTACAAGCTCTTTTCGTATTTCAAAAGGCTCCGCTTCACATATTCTGACCATAGGAATAAAGTAGGCCCCGTTTCATGTGATCCGACACGGCCTTCCTGACAAATCACACGTCCTCGTGTGTTAACTTTAAATCACAGTATTCTAAAATTTCGGTACTCGTTACATTTTATTGTCAACAAACATTTCATTAATTTTCTAAACATAAGTATTGAGGAATTTAGACAAAATAAGCATCTTGGTTTCATGATAACATAACAAATTACATCTTCATTTTAATCACAATTTACAATTCAGACTTCTCTAATTACATAGCTTTATCAACTGGTGTATTTCCTTTTACACCCACATACTGACCCCCGCCATAACAATTCCTTCTGTTATGGTGCGGGCTCCACTGACCCCCGCCATAACAATTCCTTCTGTTTTGGTGCGGTCTCCACTGACCCCCGCCATAACAATTCCTTCTGTTATGGTGCGGTCATTATATCCCCTCTTGGGATTCCAAGGCATCAACCGTGCCATCCATATCATCATTCCCCACATGGGAATCAGACGCATCTCCACTTGAGTCGTCTAAATCTTTAATCAACTTTAATCTTTAATCAATCAACGTCATTGCTTATTTTGTCTATTTGGCTATGCCCTCAAAAACTCATGCGCATACTTATAAAAGTTCGCTTACTTGACAGATATCTCAAAACATATCAGCCACCATCAAGCTTTTCTATAAACTCTGTTTGGTGCCGATCTTCATTTTCATTTTTCATCTTCATTTCTTTCTCCTTTCTCTCTCATTCTTAACATATTTTCCATTTTCATTTTTCATTTTAAATTAATCTTGCCTTATCAAAACTAGTGCTTTTCCGAACCAGCATAACGTAGCTTTAAATTTCTCTTTCTTTATACTTTTCTCTGTGTCATGTGGTGGTATCAAGCCCAAAGGGTGGGTCCGATTGGCATCTCTTAAGGGCTTGCATTGGTTGCACTACTAACTGTGCAGTTCGCCGCAAGTTGCACCCCGCCAAGAGCATCTTCCCATCACCTCTGCGGTCCTGGTATCCAGCCAGATGACTACTTTACAACTTTACACATGATACAATTTTCAACAATCTTTAAACTTAGTCATTTCCAACAATTCTGATAAATATTGCTGAGTCTATTTTTTCCAACCCAAACACATAACGGATTTATAACCTTGATTAATAACTATCCAACAAAATTTAAGGGACACTACTGGCAGATAACATTGCCTCACACCTCTCTGTATTCTTTAAAATCCCTCTTCGTAACTCAAGTTAATTTCAATTATTTGTAGTTGTTTATAAACTATACCAATAAATCCTGAAGTTGATCAGTCGGTCATTTGAGATTTCCATTCTAAGTTCAGACGTTTTTCTGTCAATTTATTTTTATTTATCGGAGTTAAATCAGTCATGTGAATTCTGGACACAAAAAGAATTCCACAATTGCCTTGCGCTTTCTCTTCCTCTACTCTATGATGCACTTCAGTTAATTTTTTTTTTGTTTAGAAATGATTACATCTGCAATAAGTATAGACTACAAACTCTCATCTGAGCAAACAATGCCAAAAATGTCAGAATAATTGCACGCCAACCAATATTTCCAATTCATACAAAGGCTACTTGGACTCCACAAGACACATAGTTCTACCAATATATCCACCAACATAAGGGTCTCCATTAATTAGGTGTATTAGCATTGGACCATATCCACAAGAGCTTATATCTGTTTCAAATTTGATCAGATGTTTCGAACCAACAAATAACGATTACAGGCTCATTTGTAATAATATTAAAAACGTTCGTTCCAATTTCTGAATATCGTCATTTCACTTAAAGATACTTGAAGCCGAAGAATCTGTCTCATGATCTGAGAAAATCGAGGCACACGTTTTTGAAAACAAGGCACCAATTCAATAAATGGTCTTACGACGGTCTCTTAATTGCACCGATTAAAAGGACGGACCTTTAACGTAAGGATTTTCTAGGAATTGGGTTTGATTTCTCCACCGCACACCTCATAGCTCAGATACTGCGTAGTAGGTTCAAGAAACCCACATTTGGTAACGTTAAATGGCAACCCTGGTACAGTCAACACATTTAATACAACCTTCAGCCTTCGGAAAGCCTTTTCTTCCGAGTTTGCCATGATTAACACGTCATCTATGTAAACTATCGCAAATAATCATGATAAATTCCAAACGCCTTAACAATTGCATGATGAAGGTAGAAGATGCACTCTTCAAACCAAACGGCACGGCAGACCAAACAGACGGCAACTCGTAATTTTAATTAATTATTTTTCAACAGAAACATTTTTCCTTCACAGGGTCTGACATAAGCGGCAAAGGCCACTGTCCGAAACCATTTTCGAATATTGCTTCCGATAGTCTAAGCACAACCTATCGTAGCACAGGGCTCGCCAATGGGAAGGCAGATGGGCAAACAACACTGCAATCAAACACATCTCTATTCCCATATTTTAGCCAATTTAGCTCCCAAATCAAAGAATAATTGGAAAGGGCTCACCCGATACTGTCACTGTTGAATCACACAAATCAACTCGCTTCTACATGCAGCTGCCGCTGCCGCTCGCAGCCGCTGATACCCATCTCGTGCACACAGATGCAATGTGACCACCGTTCTCACGCCTGAAGTGCGTCACTCCAGCTCTCCGCACTTCAGCCGCAGTTCCGCCAGTGTGCTGTTGTTGTTGTCTTCCATTCTTCCCCAAATTTTCTGGCCGACACTGATGACACTTGCAACCGTCCGGCTCAACACGCGACCAGTGCATTTGACTGCCTATCACGACTCCGGTGTCTCGCACCACGCGGCTGCGCAAGCCTTCGATGCGCCACTGAATTTAGTATCGACCGAAAATCACTTTATCAGAATGCCCGCGAGGCTATGGTGAATCCCACTTCTGATGTCGGAGATATCCGTTATTTAATTTAACCGTAGTCGAGCCAGCGAGTTCTGTTCGCCTGCGCAGTCAAATCGAATCTGTCATCACGCCACTTTTCCTGTGGCCCTTTCACCTTTTCTTACTTTTCACTCAGATGTCATTCCTAGACAATCTCAAGCTGTCTCTCTCATTCTCTCCTATTGTTGCGACAGACGAACAGACCTCACTCAGTAACACTCCTGTTACCGACTCAACTGTCATTGCGCCTGCGCGCCAGCGACACCTACAGGGCTACCAATACCTGAGCATGCCGAATAACTCTGTTGCCATAGCAACAAGCTTTCCAAATTTGCACTTAGCAACCAACTCGCCGACATACGTATGTATGTATGTGGAAGCAAACACTTGACAATACATTTCGATTACTAAATGTGAAAGATCATGAAGATATATAAATGGAAACCTAGTTACATACACATATACCGTAAGCATCAAATTCAGATAAATAAATATTTAAATTTCAAAACAATAGACCTGCCAAAGACAAGATTATTATTTATTCTTCGAAATAAAATATCGCAAAATGTTCGTAAATGCGCTTAGAAACGATATAAATATGCGAGCGTTGATTGAAGACTCTCCGTATATTTATTTCCTAATAAGCTAAGCAGATTAAATCAAAGCTTATTTTTATGTTTTCCCCATCCATTTCCTAAAGAAATACCCATTTAATTATGAAAATACATGTATTTCTATATTTTCTTAAGTTAAACTATGTTTGTTTTGACAAATGATAGTATCAACTTGTACTTATTGAAGTTCTTATGACTCGGAATCCAAAATAAGGGGCTATCAATAATAAAATAATGGAATATTATTTAAATTATATCCATAAAACTTATGTATAATGGATATAATTCAACTTTTGCTTCTAACAAATCGCTATTGAAACTGACTCGATCTTTCAGTAAATCTTTTTCAAGAAAATATATAAAATACAATAGAAGGAAATCTAAAAAAGATGTATTGAAAAATTAAGAAAATCTTCATCAAAAACGAATCGTAGAAAACAAAAGTTTGAAACCACAATATTATTATGATTGAAGCCCATTTAAAAAGAGAGAAATAAGATGGCTGATTAGCTTGGTCGCGGTTTTTATTGACCGCCAGTTCACGATTCTAAAATTATAGGACCTTGTTAAGTTGGAAACAATTTTTCAAGTGGGCAAAGCGATTGCATATAAGAAACTTATCTTACTCCGCTTCTTGGCTTACTGACTAAACGTATTTGTTACATAATTGATTAATCCATAGGTTGCGTTTATGTTTTTTTATAAATCTAGTCAAATTTTATAGAATTGACCCCGACGTCAATTTGGCCACCTCGGTAGCTGCCGCGCTTCTTCTTGGTCTTCTCGTGCTTGAAGGATTTGCCGCGCGTATGTTTCAGGTCCTTGTTGGCTCGCTCGCCCCAAGAGCCGGCGGCGTTTTTCTATGGTGGTTTACAAATAATATAAACAGGTTAATTCCATAACGTAACTGCATCTAGGGTGGTGTGTGCTTATGCGTGTGTGTGTGTGTGTTGCTAACTAAACTAAACTCTAATTGTCGAAGGTGATCTTCTTGTTAGGCTTTGGCGCCGACGAGTCGAATGATTTATTGCCAAAGCCACCGCCACGTCCGCCTCCACGGCCACCGCCGCCGCGACCTCCAAAACCACCACCGCCTCCACGGCCACCACCGAAGCCGCCGCCTCCGCGTCCACCGCCACCACCGCGTCCACCGCCTCCTCCACGTCCGCCGAAACCACCGCCGCCTCCGCGACCACCGAAACCGCCTCCACGGCCACCGCCTCCGCGCCCACCACGTCCGCCGCCGTCTTTGTTGTCAAAGCCTCCAAAGGATCGGCGATCACCAATCTTCTTGAAGCCGCCACCATCGCCGCCATCCTCGCCGCCGTTCTGCTTGTTGCTCTCCCAGTTGCTGCGATCCGGACGACCGGCGAACCCGGAGCCTCCACGGCCTCCACGTCCATTGTTGTGCTTCTTGAAGCCGCCGTCCTGAAAGGGGAGTAGAGAATGCCAAAGAGGGCAAACCACAAATTAGCAAAGATTTTTTTTTGTAAATGCAATTTCAAAATGGGTAAGGAAAGTGCCACAAATGATTTGAGTTTTCTTCAAGCGGCGTGCGCATCTGTTGCTAATTTGTGTGTCAGCCCCCTCCGCTACTCAGCACCTCGAATCCCCGCGGCCTGCTCCTCGACAAAACAAAACAAACCAAACACACACACACCCAAAGGCACGCGCGACTCAAATGCATTTGCGGCACTCACCTTGGCCTCAAAGGACATGTCCTGGACACGTGAATCCACCAGCACCTCTTCGGTGCGAACCCGCCGGAAGGGAGACCGTCTCCGGCCACTTCCACCCCCATTGCTGCCGTTCAACTGTTTGTTATTCCAACTGTTATTGTGGTGGTTATTGTTGGGCGTCGATGTAAAGTCATTCTTCTGCGAATGGCAAGCGATTATTATCAACTGTTTTGGACACGGACTGGGTGACAAAAGTTACGGGTTTTGATTGGAATCAGACAAAGAAAACATTTATCAGGATGATCAACTGACCAACTAATGTTTCCAACTATAAACATTGGTAATAATGATATTTTTAACTAGGAATTTTCACGTTAAAAAATTTAGTTTTCCTAAAATATTTTCAGTAATTTTATAAATTATGATCCCCCAACTCACCTGTTGCTCTCCTGACTTCACAAAGTTATTATACTTCTTATTAGGAGTGGCCTCATCGGCATCGCCGCCACTGAACTTGCGCTTTTGACCACCATTGGCCACTGGCTGGGGCTTGGCCTCGCCGGGCTCTTCTTCAGACTCGCTGCTGTCGCTGCTGCTCTCGGCCTTCTTTTTTGCTGGCACTGGCTTCTTGGCCGCTGGGGCCTCATCCTCCGAGGAGTCCTCTTCCGAGGAGGTATCATCCTTTTTGGCAGGTGCCGCGGTCTTCTTGACTGCTGGCTTTACAGCAGCTGGCGCTTCATCGTCACTGGAGTCCTCGCTGCTCGAGGCGGCAGGCTTAGCCGGAGCTTTGGTGGCAGCAGCAGCCTTGGCCTTGGGCTTTTCATCTTCCGAACTGTCGCTGTCGTCGGAGGAGTCCTCGGACTCCGCCTTCTTAGCAGGAGTAGCCTTGGCCGGAGCAGCCTTGGCAGCTGGCTTCTTGGGAGCTTCCTCTTCATCTGAGTCGCTCTCCTCGCTGGATGTATCGGCCTTCTTGGCTGGAGCAGCCTTTGCTGGAGCGGCCGCCTTCTTGGGTGCCTCATCTTCGGAAGAACTGTCCTCACTGGAAGAGGCTGCCTTCTTGGCTGCAGCCGGCTTAACTGGGGCCTTTGCTGCAGGCTTCTCATCCTCAGAGTCGCTGTCTTCGCTGCTGGAAGAGGCTGCCTTTTTAGCGGCAGGCTTAGCAGGTGCAGCCTTCTTGGCGGCTGGCTCCTCATCGGAATCACTGTCCTCGCTTGAAGATTTGGCCTTCTTGGCCGCCGCTGCCTTGACCGGAGCCTTGGCGGCGGGCTTTGCCTCCTCCTCTGAGCTGCTGTCTTCGCTGCTGGACTCTGCCTTCTTGGCAGGAGCTGCCTTAGCCGGGGTGGCCTTTGCCACAGGTTTCTTCTCCTCCTCAGAACTGTCACTATCCTCGCTTGAAGAGGCGGCGGCCTTCTTGGCCGGTGTAGCCTTGGCGGGTGCAGCCTTGACTGGCGCTGCCTTCTTTGGTGCCTCATCTTCCGAGGAGCTGTCCTCGCTCGAGGAGTCGGCCTTCTTGGCGGGTGCTGCCTTAGCTGGGGTGGCCTTGGCCACTGGCTTCTTCTGTTCCTCCTCAGAGCTGCTGTCCTCGCTGCTGGAGGAGGCAGCCGCCTTGGCGGCCTTGCCATTTGTCACTGGAGCCGCTGCCGGCTTCTTAGCGGGCGCTGGAGCTGCATCGGAGTCCGAGTCGCTGTCATCACTGCTGCTGCCTGCCGCGGCCGCCTTGATGGCCGGGAATTTTACGGGGCTGTTTGCCTGGAAGAACTTGATGAGCTCGACTACCACAGGCGCGTTCTTGCCAAGAGTGGGCTGCGGATAAAAAGACGCACAAGTTGTGTGGTTAGTGAACAACACGTGGTCGGGGGCGGGCCTAAGCGGGAGGGGAGACTGCCACTGGAGGACTTTTCCAGAGAGAAATCCATCTTACTGTAACTGCCTGCCCTGCCGATGTGGGCACCCACACAATTGCTAGCTTTGGGTGCATCCAAATCCGTTGCACTTGCTGCCGCTTTGCAGGCGAACTTACCGCTTTCGTCTTTTGCTGATAGACCTTGGCCAGGTTCTTGTCCACGGACAGCAGGTGCTGCAGGACGACTCCATGGGTCAATTTTACTTCCTCCGTCATGTTTGTTTCTCTGATTCTCTATATTTTCGGTCCGCAATAAAGTTCTAGCCGCACGCTCGTTTCACACCAAAAAGAATGCGCACACACACGTGTTTTGTCTTTTTCAAAACTCTGGCAGCCCCTTTTAATCAGCGGGGCGGTCTGGCAAGCCTGCCGCACATGTCGTCATTGTGCAACACTAGTCATACAGTAGACACTCCCTAAAAATAATTTATTTCTTATTTTGGTAAGCATTTTAATTAGAAAAACACAAGATAAATTTAATACCACTAAATTAAACACCATCACGAATTCCGTTTTAAACTTTTTACTAATATTATTTTTTATAATTATTATTATTGTAAATTTAACAACAACTCAATAAAAACAAATTAGTAAAACAGCTTATTTACAATTATAAAATGTTAATAGTTATTAATTATTTGTTTTTTCATTTATTTTTATTTTCAAATATATTTTTCGTGTTTTTGGACAGAACACATGCGGTCACACTGCCTCAGAGCAATGTATTTTTGTTTGTTATTCAATTGAACAACGCAACGCAAAATAGAAAAATACCTCCAAGTCGGTGTTAATTCGCATGTTTCATTGGACCTACAGACCCTTCGGATCCGCATAAGATCAGTGATTCCATATGGCCATGGCTACAGAGCCATTTACTGGGATTCTTGGCCTCAATGACGATTGTCTGGAGGAGATTTTCGATCGACTCCAGGACCTGCCGTCCGAGGTGGCCTTCGCGAGAACCTGCCAACGCTTCCAGCACATCTGCCAGTCCAAATGGCGTACCAGTCGCGCCTACGAGCAGCTAGACCTGGACAAGTGGCGGGAGCTGCTGCCCAACTACGAGGATCTCATATATTTCCTCTCCCAGATGCGGCCGCACATCAAGGAGATGTGCGTTAGCAGCTGCTTGTGCGCCCTGCTCAAGGATCTGGACGAGATGCACATTTCAGAGCTGCCCGCGGTGGCCAGTTTCTACTACGATCCCGAGGACGTGGACTGCTATCCGTCGAATCGGAGCATTCGCAAGCTAGCCGGTCTGCTGCCGGGACTGCGCAAACTGCGTCTAACCACTCCCATTGACGGCCGATACTTGTCCCAGTTCCAGCACCTGCAGGAGCTGCATCTGTATGAGGATTGGCACAAGGCCTACGAGCTGCAGCAAGAGTATCTGGAGGAAGTGTGCCAGTAAGTAGAGTTTGGTTCCTTCAGATGTGTGGCACTCACTCTTCGGTTTGTTTCACAGCAAGCTACACGACCTCCGGGTACTGGACATACGAACCTACGACGTGATAAGCAAACTGCAGCTGACCAACTGTGTGCCAAGTCTCAGGAACCTAACCGTTCTTAAGCTGAACCTCGCCACGCTAAAGCCCGTTCTGCCGGCTGTCCTGGAGCTGCCCGCTCTGAGGCAACTGGTGGTTCTGCTGGACAACGAATGGCACATCCCGCCACTGGTCAGTCCCGATAGCTATGACCACAAGATCCGCGAGGTCAGTGAGTTTTACGAGATAATGGAGCGCAAGGCAGAGAACATTTTGGGTTTCGCCGTGGACGGCTACTATATGCCTTTAGAGCCCGGCTGGGATGAAAAATTGCCCATTTGGACGCATCGACGGCTACAGCGGCTGGCCATCTGCAGTTGGACCCATCCGGCCGACTATCTGGAGCGCTACACCTGCATGACAGACCTGCGGCTACTGTGCCTGCGAAATTGGAACGACCTGAGCGACGACATATTGCTCAAGTTTGTGGAGCTGTGTCCGCGCCTGGAACACCTGGACGTGTCCTACTGCCGCGAGCTAACCCCCAAATTCCTGACCCGCGCATTGAGTGTCCTTAAACAGCGAGAGCCCCACAAGCATAAGCCTGGCTTTGGGCGATCACCACCCCTCCTGCTGTACTACGAACTCAGTGGATTTGAGGATTTTGTGGAGAAAGCGGTAACTATGACATGGATTATTGGGGGTTACTTATTGTGGCTAATCTTTATATTTTTTTTCATTTATTAGAATCTCAAAAGCTCGCCGGACTATCGGGATTATATTGTGTTCACAGCCGACTTTCCCATCGACTCGGAGCGGGGTCTTAGTTTTGTGGATCGCGGCTATCAGTTTGAATTTGACTGTCCCTGAATATGTAAAAAGAGAATACATAGAAATATATTTATTATTTAAAATAATGTTGAACTAAAACCACATACTTTTTTAGTCGTATATTAAAATTTTTTAAAACCGCGGTATTTTCCGCACTTACGGTCACACTACCTCCCAATGCTCCATTCTTCTTCCTCACACATGTTTTTATTTACAAGTGAATTGTGCAATCTCTTGAGGAGCAGGATCTTATTTAAATATTCTTAAAAATCATAATGAGTGAGGGAAAGGATCAGAAGCCGGGCGATGGCATCCGCTCCATGCGCTCCACCGGAGTGTTCCGTCTAATCAACTTTGAGTTGTACGCAAAGCCGGTAAGATTTTTAACCAGAGATGTTGAGATACAATTTCTATACCTTGCCTTTCACAGAACGCCATCATCATGGGCCTGGGACTGACTGCCATTACCGGAGTCTTTGGCTACATCGCCTACATGAGGTACAAGTACGAAAGCCTGGGCTACTATGTGGCCGTCAAGGACGACGGACGCGAAGAATTCATCAAAAAGAAGTCCAACTGGGAGAGCTAGCCATCTAGACAAGAGACTGAAAGAGACCTCTTTTTGGAAACACCTTTTATTTACTTGGTAGCACAATTTGGTACATAAATTTGTTGTTTGTTTGGGAAGATGTTGTTTGTTTTTGCCAAAATGTATGTAAAGAAATCACAAATAGTAGAAAAATGTTTTTAACTAGAACCATGTTTGTTTTGCGGCAAATTTGGGCACCGCAAAAAATGAGCGTAAGACAGCAGAAAAGGGGACGGGGACAGAGGTGGTGAAGTTGTAGAGTGGAGCAGAGAAGAGGTGGTGTGTATCACAATTACAAGAGGAATTACTCTCCTCTCTCGCTCTCTTCTCTTCGCCGCCATCGCCATCGTCATCTTCGTCGTAGTCGTCTTCGTTATCGCTATGCTTTTGGTTAACATTGTGTCTCCCGTCCCCCCTAGGCAGACAACTTGAGAGCCTTGAGCTCGTCCAGGTACCGTGCTTCCATCTTAATCTTGTTTAGTTGGTTCAGCTCCAGGTTCTCGCCCTGGTTGCGGCGCAGCTTCAGCTTCTTGATGTCCGACAGCTTCTTGGCAACGCTGCGAATCTTTCGTTCCTTCTCGCTGATATTCTGGCCATTAGCCTGTCCCTGGGGATACTGTTGGCCCTGGTTTCGTGGCTGATCAGCCGCGTTCTCCTGGGGCTGGTATCTCGGTCGGGGAGTGTTGTGCTGCGACTGATGCTTACGCTGCTGCTGCTGTTGCTGCTCCTCCCCAGCCTCTGGCACTGTTACTGGCGGCGTTTGCTGGACACCACCACCTGGCGGCACAGCAGCACCTGCTGGCGCTACCTCTGCAGGTGTAGAGTCCGCATCACCGCCATTCACCACATTGACGACATCCTTTTTGGGGCCCCGGGGCTTGTTCTTGTTGTTCCTTTTATTGTTGGCACCACCTGCAGGCGGAGGAGAAATGCAAACAGCAATTAGCAAACACATGGCCGAGCCTACTTACGACCGCGCGTCAATCCCTAATCCTAATTGGCATGGCTAATACGGAAAGTGTGAGCAAGGAGTGAAGAGGAATGGCTGATTAGCTGTGGAACCTAGTAGCGTCTATGCTGGTAGGGCCGATAGCGCCGAAAGGGACGATTGTTTGAGGTCCCCGTCGCCGGCTGACCCTCACGTCCGCCGGCCACCACCTGGACTTGAACCTGGCCCTGCTCGCCACGTCGCATGATTGGATTGTCCAGATCGTATTGCCTGTGCCAAAATTGCCGCGGAGTATTACCTGCTGCTGATGGAGCCAGTCCGGGAACGCTCGGTTGGGGCAGATACTGTTCCGGATTCTTTCCCTCCTTCAGCAGCCGCAGATGGGGCGGTGTGTAGGCCTTCTTGCTGGCCTCTGGTTGGCTGGACTTGATGCCCTCGTGCTTGGCCTTGGTGATCTTTGGCTCGCTAAAGGTCTTGTCTGGGAATTGCTGCCACTCGATGCCCAACAGCTCCTGGCCCTGCGGCCACATGGTCTCGTGAAGAAGAGCTCCAGAGTAGTGATAAACTTTGAATCTAAATAAAAACAAAGTTTGACATTACATTCTCAATTAATTTGTTGCAAGACGTTTACTCACCCATTACTGATCCGTAGTCTGGGCGCCGTGGTGGCAGTGATGAACCACTCGCCATTGGGATGCCACTCAAAGACCGTGGTGTCGGCGCACTTGAGATTCGCCAACTTCTCGCGTTTGGCCACATCCCAAACCTCGACGGCTCCTGGAAGATTACCAAAGCCGGCCAGGACTATGAGAGTGCCAAACGGATTGAAGTAGGCGCAGTTGCGCGGTCCCTCGCCGAAATCGAAGACCACATCGCACTTGAGATTGTAGAGGGCCGCCTTGGAGGGCATGAACCCGTAGACGACCACAAACTCATTTGCCTTGGGACTCCACTTGACACAATGCACCGGGCCCTCCTTGGAGAGGGGCACGGAGCAAGTGTCGCCCTTGGTGGCCATAAAATGCACCGCCTGGTTGCCGTAATAGGAGGCTCCGCTCTTATCCACCTCCGTGCTGGTCAGCAGCAGAAGACCGCTTCCCCGCTTGTTCCACAGCATCTCGACTCGGTCGGCCTGGAAGAAGCTCTTGCACGCAACCGTCTGGTTCTGGCCCAGAGCCGGGTATTTGTACAGCTTGCACATGGACGGAGCACCCTTGGCGCCCGGGGTGTAGAAGGCCAGAAAGGGTGGACAGCTGCCGGGTCCCAGTGAAAGCATACCGCCGCGACTGCCACCGATTTTACGCGAGGTGCCTGCGAATCCCTTCTCTGCTCCCTCTCCCAGATCGTAGAACAGCGCCTCGCCGCCAACAACCAGGGCAAAGATGGACTCGTCCGATGACCATGACGGCTGCCAGTCAGTCTGGTTCTTCTGTACTACGGCAAAGACTTCTTCGCCGGTGGCAACCTCGTAGACTAACAGATTGGGCGATCCCTCCGGCCGGTCCTTGGTGATGGTATAGTTCTCCCAGGTGCACAGATATCGGCCACGTGGCGAGAAGTTGAGGTAGAAGGCCTTCGGCCGGGGCAGCGTGGCAACCACTGGCCAGCTGGCAGCGCTATCCCTGCTCGCCTCGAGCACCTTGACCGCCTGACCGTTGGAGTACGCAAAGTACCGGCCGTCGGGGCTGAAGCAGATCGAGCGGGAGCTCTTCGTCTCCTCGCGCGGCAAGTGGGCCTTGTGCTCGTACGGCTGCTTGGAGCCCGCCGACGACCACAACTCCACGGCCACGCTAGAGCGAACTGTGGACAGAAGGAATAGAGAGGGGAGAGGTTAGCACGAGCGGCCGATGGAGAACGAACACGAGGTCGTTCGACTTTTAGCCTTTCCCGCCGTTCCCCGCGGCGGAGGCGGCCGCCTTCGATGGCCCGGAGTCAGGGCTGCCTTTTGGCGTCAATTTGGAGATGAATCCCAAGGATAATACTCACTGGCAAGGGTAGGAACAACCAGATCCGCAGCTGCAGCCATTGTCTTCCAATCTCACACGCACGCACACACCCAGGGGAACGCACACGCTCACGTTGGCCGTCGGTATTGTTGTTGTTAAATGTCAATTGTTGTTGTTTAGAGCTGCAAGCACATCGATTTTACTATCGATACCATCGATAACTCAAGGGTTAACATTTAATATTTGAATATTGTGGATTTTGTTTATAATCTACAGCCATAATATTTAAATTACTCACTATTGCAGCTCTTGCAGACTCCCACGCTGTCAATTGATGCTGTTATATGGCAATTGTTGCTGTCTGCCGTGTTCTGCTGCAGACGTTCAGTGTTGGTTAACAGATATGTATGGTAGGGACAGGGTTGCCGCGCACTCGGTGTGTCAATGGGCGATGGTCAATATGCATTGGCGCGACAACGACACGTTTAACAATCAACCGAACCAAACCAAACGTATTTAGAACTGCAACAAAATTTCTGCTCTACGTGAATTTAAAAACATTTTAGTACTGACAATTTCAGGGTTCAGACATCAGAACGTCAGAAGGGCCCCATCCAAAGACAGGTTGATTATCGATTTTTTACTTAACAAATTGATTTATTATCTTTTTAATTCGTTAAGTTATTGGTAACTTTACAGTTTAAACTAGGCTTTTAATTGAAAAGATTTCAATACAATTTTATTAAGTTATTTATATATTTAAAATACTACTTTCCAAGTTAGAGATTAAGAATTACTTATATATTTTCTTCATTCGCATTGTTAATAAATTTCGGCTTGTTATCGAACCAATTCTCATTTGGTTTTTCCTGGGATATTTAAATGTTATTTTTCAATATTTTCCTGATGAAATCTTGGTTTTTGCTAGAGCTTTTCTTACAGGAGTTAAGATAGTTATTCTCATATTATCCCATTTGGTTATAAATAGTGTCTAGACGCATTAGTAATTATTACAAACCATTAGAAAAGAAATGTGGTCTTTTGTCGACGACAAGCCTGAGGCCAGTAACTTCTGCGGGCTTTTCATTTTTGTACTGTATTTTTTTTTTTTTTGCCACTATTACGCCAGTTAATTGTTAGGCTCTGATAAAGGCGTTGGGACAATTGGAACTCGTTCAGTCACTTTCGCTGAAAAGCTGCGTTGCGCTGACACTGCGCATGCGTGTCGTGTCACTTGGCTTCGAGCTGGTCCGCCGCTGCGTTTGTTTCAATTGTTACCGTTAATTTTATTTTATTTTATTTATTTACACCCGACGGCAAACACTTTTTCTGCACGTCGCGCCGCCACTCGACAATTGACTTGAAATGTCACGAGGGGAAAAGTTACAACCACTATGAAAGTTTTGTTTTGTGGCCTTTCGGCGTTTTCTTCATTTTTCGATAATAACCAAAGCGAATTGTAACTAATATAGCTCGGTAACTTTCCCAAAAGAAAATGAAAAGCGCCTTTTAATTGTCAGACAGACAGAGAAGAGCAAAATGGGAGAGGAGCCAAGCGTAGCATCTACAGAATATTCAATTATGTAATGTTATTAATCGATAACCAATTAACAAGCCGCCATGCAAGTAGATAAGTCAGTTTGCAATGCTTTCAGATTCGTTTGAAGGTGAAACCACTAACGGTAAAAGATTCATATTTTCCCATAAAATTTTCCAATTTGGAGTTTGGTAATGGTAATTTTGGTTATTTTTAGCTAATACAAGATATTTATACTTGATAAATGAGAAATAGCTAGGTTTAGTTTCAAATTTTTATGATCAGATGTGCCTTTTTGTTATGGGTTCCTTAACAAACATATTTGTTTCTACAATATATACCCTTATTACTTATACACTTACTAAATACATATAACAATGTACGGATATGACATCCAGTGATCTCGAGACTCCCTCCGATCTCTTCAGCAAGATCGGTCCTGGACCAACCTTTGCCATCTTGCTTGCCCTCCTGGCGGTGCTAATAGCACTTCTCTGCTGCATTGGATATTACTGCTGCTTCAGCTGTAAAAACGACGACTCCTACTAAAAAGGCTTTACTCTATAAACCTCCAGCACAAAAATGGCTGTGGCACAGCAAATGCTTTGGTTCATCCTTGTGCCAATCATATTAGTTTGCTGTTGTGTCTGCTGTATTGCCTGCATTTGCTGTGGCTGCTTGGTGATGCTTTTGCGTGCCGTTCATTTGATGCCTCCAGAACCCGAGCCCGAGGATGAACAACAACCACAACAACAGCGACCACAACCACCAAAACAAAGCATAATAATGTCAACGACATCTTTAGCACCACCCCACGCCCTGACTGCAGTGGTTGATATGGAGGAAGGACTGAATTAACTTACATATTTGTTGTATGCCTTTATTAAAAGCTTTGCTATTTTTGAAGTGTTCTTACCATAGCATACCCTGAACTTGAATCATGCGTTTGCATTTGAAATTTATCAACTAAAATAAAACCATTTATAATGAGATTTCCCCTCTTCACGCATCTAACGGTCGATTAATTCTACACCTGGAATCTCTAAACTTTTCAGCACTTGTCAAAGCGAGCTCTAAATTAGAATGAATTTCCTGCTGGCGATAATCCTTGCGGTACTGCTCGACTATATGTGGTTCGTAAGTTCGTTTTCCTGTCCTGCTGCTGCCTGCACATGTATCCAGATCGGCGGCACCCACAATACCAGCGGGAGGAGGTCCCAGGCCCGATCTGCAGCGGCAACACTTGGCGACACGACAGCAACAGGTTACGAGTGCGACGATGTGCCCGAAGATCTCAGCAGTGGCAGTGTAGCAGTAGCAGTAGCAGAGGCAGAGGCAGAAGCGGCGACGCATGCGCAGACGAGGCAGCACCAAGTGCTTAAGGAATGGTAAACCTTACCTGCTCCGTCAGTTCAGGTTGAGCGCTCGAGTTGGTCGGTTCGCGTTACCATTGCCATTGCCAGAGATCACGGATCACAGAGATCAGAGGGCTCTTCCAGTGGATACGATACTACCCGTGTGCCTAGCTTTAAATCCATCATCGGTCGTGAAGTGTGAAGTGAAAAGCCAATTCGGACCCCAGAAACGATATAAGAACGAGAGTGCCTCGAGTGCTTCAGTACCAAGTACCCAAGTACCCAGTACGCCCCAAGTACAGCCAATAACCCAACAAGAAACCATCGACCATCAACACACACTGCTACAAAATGGAATACCGGTGCTTAAGTAGAAGTTCTGTCAAAGTAAGTGACCCCAATAAGCACAAAAAATAAAGACACCAAAGCCGTTGCCGGAGCGCCCACAAGGAGGATGGAGATGGTGATGGAGAGGCAGCTGCAAGATCTCTTACACTTCTCTCTCCTCGCACCTCGGCACCTTTTTACACGTCGTCTTATACGCTCTTTTTTTTGTTGTATTTTGCTGAACTTGGCATTGTTCTTGTCTCGTCTCTTCCTTTCGGAAACCAGTATGGCATAAAGAACACATATTATATGTGGCTATATGTGCGGCGATATATATGCACACACATTGCAGCCCACAGCAGGCAGGCAACACCTTCGGTGGTGGTCCACTAAGTGCCTGGCCTGGCGTGGAATGGCATGGGTTGGGTTCTGGGTTCGGTTAGGTTCGGAACGGATCGGAGCTGGGCTCCGTCTCTGACTCCATCTCCGTCGCCCACCTCGACCCATTTCTCCGGTCCGCTCGATCGACCGATGGCATGAATTAGCACCTTTCTTGGGACTTTCTTTTTGCCTGGTCTTGAAGAATTTATAATGAATTTGCTTTGGCCAAATAACTTTTACTAGGCTGCGTGTTTCCCAAATACGTGTGTGTATCCACACCACACATACTCGTGGCTAAATGTTTGTCAGTCGGCTCACGTCTAGGCCCTGGCTGGCACTCTAGGAATTGGCAACAGGAAAGAGTGCTGGTCCGTTGTTGCCAGTGATATATGGCCAGGAGATTCGACCCAGCGATTGGTGGAACAGCAGAGCCCAGCTGCATTCCTGCGGGAATTACTTGACTTTAAAAGCCAAAGGTTGCATGCCCCTAAATTCCACGCAGAGAGAGAGAACCATAAAGTAGCAGGGTTTAAGCTCTCTTCAAAGCTAAGAAATAGTAGAAATACCTTTGTAGATCTTCACGTCTGAGAACCCTAAAATCTACCTGCTCTTTTTAGTGAACTTGACCGACTTAAAAACCACCAAAATGCTAATCAAGAGGCTAACAAAGTCGGTAGAAAGCAAAATCACGCCCACGCCTAAAAGCTTCATCAACGATTTCCCTTGAATTGAATTGTTGATTTCTTGCCCCAATACGATTCATTCGGTCCTCAGCAATTTTTAAGAAATTTGATCGATTTGTTTGCTAGCCGGAAAACACAGAAAAAAATTGGGACTAAAAATTATTAAAACAATAAAAACAATTTAGGAATCTTTATATATACTTTACGAATAGCATACTTTTCTTAACAAAAAAATAAAGTTTTAAATTCTATTCGAAAATGTTTCAAGTTGTATTTCTCTTAAGATGTTTTAATTAATATAATACTTATAATTATTAATATTTTTATATTAATTATGGCTTGACCTTTCTTCAAAATTAAATACAATTCAATACACAGAATTTCTCTCAGTGCAGGCGATGAATCAAAGTGGATTCTTAAAGCGTCGCCTAAATGCTCGAATGCCAAGCTGAGCCGTGTCGTTGGCAAAAGCGAAATAAAAATTTTATAAAAAGTAGGCTAAATATATTCATACTTTGATTTTTATGGGTTGCTTGCCGTCTCCGTCTCTCCGATTTCTGGTTTACAGGTAGAAGAAGATTCTCATTCTCATTCAAGCGTCTCAACTTCTCCCGTTCTTGTTGTTGGCCGACGAACCTCAAAGAAACCTTGAGGAAAACTAACAACAACAACAACAACACCAAGGTGCGTAAACTATTTGCAAAAGCGGAATTATAAACTGTTAACCACAACGGCGTTCTGGGTCAAAGATTCCCGGACATCTCTTCATTCGCATTCTGATTGGCAGGCAACACTCGAGAATATTGTCATAAATCTGTGTTAATTGCCAGCTTTAATGTAGCGCCAAAAGGTAACAGTACCTGTGATGTGCCTACCTGACCATCCAGTAAATGATAATGATGCGAATTATGCAGTGAAACTTCTGCTCAGATCCAAAGCATCAAAAACGAGAGCGTAATGAGTAAAAGTGTTGCTGCAGGCAATTCGGATCTGGCACGTCCCCCCCCTCAGTTCAGCTCTCTATTGTCATTAAAATACCTCGATTCTAGTGGCGGTCAGTGCGGCAGCCAAAAGGGTTTTCATAGCCCCGTTTCCACGGATTCCTCGGATTTGGATCCCACCATCTGGACAATGGGCAGTCGCAGTCACAGTCCAAAAATGAAAGCGCCGCTGTCGTCAACCTGCGGGGGCAGTGGCGTAGGCGAGTTATGGGGCGTTACCTATGCCCTCATGAGAAATTTTAAAACAAGATATTCTAGTACAAGTTATACAAATACCTTAAGCTTAGAAATTCCTTGGTTGTGTTCCTTTTGAGACCTTGAAAATCCCTTAAGCAAATAGTATCTTTGGAGAACCCCCCTTTGTTGAAAAATCTTCATACGTCACTGTGCGGGGGAGTGAAACGGGCGGCTAAAGAAGTCAGAGTCCATGCACTTGTCTCGCTCTCTCTGCCTCACCTTGCTCCCCATTCCCCTCTGTGGTCTGGGAAAACGTGATCTGCATAGTGGCCGTTAAGGCTGCTGCTTCTTCTGGAGAAAAAACCATTGAAAGTTTTGTCGCTTCGGGGTTATCACGGCATCGAGCTTTGTTGTCTGTCGCGGAACGAAAAAAAATTAAAAAACTCTAACAAAAAACAACGGTCTAATGCGCAACGGTGCTGAGAACCGGCAAGAAAAAACATTTGCACAGTTGCGTTGCACATACGAACCGTTGGTTTTGGTTCCCCGTATCGATATTATTGATCGTTAAACGTATATAGCGATTATAGGTTGAAATAATTGAAATTACTGGTTTCTGGAATTAGAATAAACTTTAAATTCATATCTGGATTTAAAATGTTCCTTTAATTTAGACACCCCTTTTGAAAAAATATAAGAGTAATCCAAATCACAAAAGACCTTTTATAAGGCAAGTAGTAGAATTTGACATTTAATTGTTTTAGATGATCGTAACCTTCTATATCCTTCCCAAAATTTGATTCCAGAGTTTTTTGGGAATCTATGGTCAATTTAAGAGCAAAGTTCAATTATTGAAATCCCATCTTCAAGAATATGACTTCTTTCGTCGAAATCATTATTATTTTTATAAATCTTTAAATCACATATATTAGTCTTTTTTCATAAACTGTCAATCAGTGATTAGAGTTGAATGATTAATCTTTATTTTTTCGAGCTCCAAGGTCTATTTCGGAACATATTCTATTTGTGGCTCTCGCCATGTTGACAGCAGCTCCAAGACAATTGGCCTTTGCTTTTCATCGGACTCGACTGGCTGGCTAGCTGGCTTTTCCTGACCAACTGCTCCACAATCGACGGACAAAAGCCTTTGGGAAATTGTGTCAGTCAAGCGAGCACAATTCTCTCTCAATTCTCAATTCGTTTCAATCACAATGCATTATCACTGACATCCATTGAGAATGTGGAACTCGCCGGAGACAGAAGGCGAGACAGAGATGGCACCACATGGCCCCCAGCTATGGGCTACGCTTATCAATAAACCAGTTCCAGTTCTCCAAGCCCCCATTGCGTGCAACGGTCGCAGTCGCAGTCGCAGCCGCTGTCTCACTGTCACAGTCAAAGTCACAGTCTCGGGCAACGTCACCTGTGGCTATTTGTAAGCTGTCAATAATCTGTCGACATTGCCATGCTTTCCCGAAACCAATTTTCACTCGTGCAGCCCGCCTGATCTGTTTGCTGTTCCAATGTGTTAGAATTTAATTTCATTTGTTATTAAGCGCCAATGTTTGTTTATGCGAGCTTTAAGCCGAGAGTTGGAGATCGAAGCGCTAGAGGGAGATGGCGATGTGGGTCGTTAACCTCGTTATAACGGCACCTGATACACGAACGAAGCCGCTGCTCTTGACAGTTTTGCTCGTCGCTTTGTCTCTTTTTGCCGTTCTTGTTGTTGTTTGTGTATATCTCTCACTTTGGTTCTTTCTAGCCTGGCTTTGTTGCGCCCTCTCTTTTGCTCTTTCGCTGGCAAAGCAAAAAGGCAAAAACATTTGGTGCGCCTTGTTGTTGTTGTTATGTAAGCCTAATGACGGGAGCTGTTTGAAATTGTCAACGGTTCGTCAATGGGTTTTTGATTAATGCGTGATTTGCTGATTTCAAAAGCAAAGCAATAATGCCCAATTATGTACAGATACTATTTGCATTTCTCTGGCGGCTATCGTTGGTGATTTGGTACAGTCATGTCCGCGCCAACAATGAACCCTCGCGGACCTAAGAAAGTCGCCTCATTAGGTGCCAAGAGAGAGACCCAATCAAGATGGCAATTACCAGGTAAAAATACGTCTCTCTTTCTGGTGACAGGTTCAAATGGCAATGGCTTCTCCGGGTCCCAGGGGTCCCGTACCTGTCTTTTAATGTCGAATTAAGAGGGAACGACGACGACGACGAAGAGCATTTATTAAACGAAATTGCTGAAGAGTCATAAAAACGGAAAGTCGGACCAACGAAACGACACACAATGCCAAGAAAAGCGCGTTTAATGAGCCACAGAATTTGACAAAAGGCAGTTACGAACTGTCGGAACTCGGTGGTGAGAGTGTCGTGTCCATCGCTGCACCGCCAGACTCACGCGGGGGGCAGTCTGCACGTGTGCAAGCGCCCCTTTTCCCGCTTCTCTGCGATCATTAAAGCCGTGTAATGAATGTGAAAAGAATTAAATAATAGAATTTCGCTTTCGTTTTTCCCACCAAACCACACGCAATGACCATTACGGGGCCCCACACTCTCTTGAATCATTTCGTTTTTGTCAAATGCCTAACTAAAAGAAAGTTGGAGGAAAAAAATAGACTTGACTGGCAAACAAAACAAAAATATTTATATCAATTAAGAAATATTTACGGTATTCCGCCATTAACAGTCCTCGGAATCGGACACAAAGGCTGCCAGAAACGCTACGATTATCGTTTCGCATGTCGTCCGTATGTACGTGCAGCGATTTTCTCAGCAGAAAGCCAACTTTGAGAGGGTAAATAAATGCCAAAAGCAAATTTTGTGCTGCAATTTTAATTCAATCGAAACTGGTTTTTCGGCTCGGCTCTGGCACTTGATCAGCAGCCAAATCTGCACAGAGAAAGTGAAAGAAAATACATGAACGCGCGCGCGCGGATAAATAAAAAACCGCAAGAAGAGGCAATAAAAAGTTCAGACCATATTAGAAGTCAGCTTTGCATGCCGTTGAAAAAATGAAAAAAAATTGTTGTATGTATTAACATTTCTTCTCGGCTCTCGGCAAGTCTGGATTTCTTCTTTGTTTTTACTTTCACGTACGATGGATGATGGCTCACGAGATTGTTATTTATGAGCTTAATTAATTTGTTTATGGATTTCGGGGCTAAGCGGGTCAAGTATGTGAAAATAGAAACTTTTCATTGGCGGGGCCCGGAATGGGCTTCAGGTCTGTGGGATAGGCCCTTGTAACTGGTCATTGGCGTACTTTTGTGCGTTTTCCCAGAACTCTGGAGAGAAGTCCCCCTGGCTAGACATTCTAGTACTTGTAGCCGGGCCATGGTCAGGGTCAGGCGGTTCAACGACAGGCCATAAAACACGTTACAACACTTACGGAACAGCGGTCTAGACGAGATTTTGGCCAAGTCCAGTTGGCCATAATGCGTGACGCAGCATTTCCAGAGATCAGTTACTGTTATTCGCACGGGCCCAAAACCCGGGGTTTTAAACTGCAATTAATTAAAGTATCCTTGATTAAATTTAATTAATTCCTAGAAGTTAACAGGGACTTATTATTAATGGAACTCCAAAATTTGATTTCTTCTGATTCTAAAACAGTGTAAAATCACTTTCAAATTTTATGAATGAGAACAAAGTAATACAAATTTAAAGAATGTTAATATTAATTTATTCTTCAAATCAGAGAAAGTATTGTTTTGTGTACCAGTTTAAACGAATTTAATTAAAATAACACATTTCTAAAGAGGGATAGTGTCAATATGACCCAAGTTTATCCAATTTTCCCATAGTTTTTGACCAAGTAATCAGTATTTGACAAAATATAGCTTATTAATATATCCCCAATTACCCTATTAAAGCTTGTATAGAATTATCCCATTGCCTCCATCTCAGTCAGACCGTTTCGTAACCCATATCCGCATCCGTATCTCATCGTTGCAGCACCTAACGGCTCTCTGCGTCATCAGCATCGCACTCACCTGCGCAAACGCGGCACTGTGGCCGAGTTACAGCAGCACCGATGACGACGCGCCCCTCAGCCGGTGTGCCGGTGGGCGTGGCCTGAAGTACCTGTCCGGCGATGCGCTCACGGACTCGCCCGACTGCCTGGGACCCAACAATGCGCCGTATCCAAGGTGAGTGAGTCAATCAATCGGTGGCGGTCAGCCAACTTTCTTTTCTAACGTATATAACCATAACCCCCTAATTGGGATCTCCTCTTTCCAGCGCGGCCGTGGCGCGCACCTTCTCCAACTGGAACGGAAACTCGCGACGTGGCCGCCAGAGCAAATTGCCCAGCACGCTGGACCCCGCCATAACCACCAGTGCTCTGCTGCGGGCCTACGACGAGGTGAATAACGAGGCCGTCGGAAGCAGTCGCTACGGTAAGTAAGCCAATTGGTCCACACCTCCACCACATAGCTAACTGACTGACTGGCTGATTGATTGATTGATTGGCTAATCATTGGGTGATATGATCACAGGTCGATCGCTGAAGAACGCCTCGCCGGAGCAGCAGTGCAAGAGCGAGACACCGGCGCGACTGTGCAAAACGCGCTACAACACCACGGCGCCCATGTATGGTGTTAGTCTCACCTCCGGCCAGCCGGTGACCATAGTCCAGAAGTTCCCCGATCTTCTCCAGCAGGTGGTCTTTGAAGTGTGCGAGTAAGTAGATGGAAAATCGAAAAACTTAATAGTATTTATTTATTTTATTAAATTATTATTCTGCCAGGTCCTCTGAGTGCGACGTGGTCCGGGGAGAGTGTACGCAAACCTACGTGCCTTACTTGTTCCTGGTCATTCCCCTTGGCCCGGTGACTCTGACTGGCCAGGACTATGTGCTGGTGGAGAGCGGATGTGTGTGCAAGCCAAAATACTCGACGGGCGCTGCCCAGGAGCCCAACATGATACCGTAGGCGGGGGCGGGGTCAACAAAAACACCCCCATCCACCCCACCAGGAACAACAACAACAACAGCAACCAAAAGAACTGAGCGAGTTTTGGGTCGTAGCGGAGCGGAGCTGAGCTGGGCTGGCTGGCTAAATTAATGTGTACTTAAACGAGGAATTATTTTTTGTAGCGAAATCAATTTTGCAATGTTATTTAATGTTTTCCCCATCTTCTCATTTTCTCCTCCTTTCATCCCCCCCTCTCAGCTGTATAAAATTGAAATGGAATTTTGCTCGAAAAATAATCAAATCCTAATGTTAAGTCTAAATTTAAACAAAATTGAATTAATGCCTTTGTGCATTTGTAGTGTGTATTTATTAGAACCCTTAATTACGGCATTCGAAAATGCAAAATAAAAACATTCGTTTCGAAATGTTAATGTAATTGTTTTATTTTTGGGATATATATATTTAATGTTTAATTATATTCATGATATTTCTTAATCATTCAATTAAATGACAAAAACTAAAATTAAAAAAGAACACTATTATGCCAAAATATTTAATATGAAATATTCTACTTATCTTATCTGATTTCTCAATCATTTTTTTTTTACTTAAGGCTATTTAAGCTTCCATAGAGCACTTGTAATTGTTTTCATTTATTTTTAGCCCAGTTTAATAATAAATTTAAATATAAAAACCGTTATTATTTCTCGTTTTGGTATTATTTCGATTTATTTAACTGCCGGTTAAGATCTTTAGTATATTCAGTGCGCGGTTCTTAGTTTCGGTATATTTTCAACGGCCGCACTGGTCACACTGTCTGCAGACCGTTTTCACGAATCTATTTTTTATTTTGCGAGGAAAAAGTGCAAAGCGATAAGTGACGGAAAAGACTTTTATGACCGCGACAGGTGTAACTGATTAAGCACCCGTCACCGAGAGTGCGTTACTAGCGATCCGCAGCTACATAATTCGCCGCGAGAACGCAGAGCATCTCCGGCCCTCACACATACACACGGCCCCTGGCTGTGGCGAAAAGACGCTGTGCGTGTGTGTGTGCGTGTAGACAATTGACTTGCGTGGTGCCGGGTTACATATATTTTTATTGAATTTTTCCCCCATCGAAGGAGCAAACAAATGTGCCTGGCCTAGAGGGGACACGATTTGGCGGCAGTGCACCGAAATCCCCTCCCGATAGAGACTCAGCGAAACGCATCCAAGATGATGTTCACGGTAAGCGCGTGCCCCCCGCCGCCCCAGTCCACAGCAATCGATAAATGCTTTTTTCCCCACCCTCGTCGTTGCCTTTCCGTTCATTTTACACTTCGATTTCAATTTTTCCAATTTTATTTTTTGTTTTCTTTACCATTTCCAATTTCGATTTGATGTATCCTCGACAGGGCACCAACCAGCAGCAGGACACCAGGTTCAGCGATAAGGAGAAGAAGCTGATGAAGCAGATGAAGTTTGGCGACTGTCTAAATAAACGGGTGGACATGTCCAAGGTGAAGTTGGACGTACTGCGGCCGTGGATCAGCAAGAAGATCACCGACATCCTGCACATTGAGGACGATGTTGTGGTGGAGTTCGTCTACAACCAGCTGGAGGAGGAGAAGTACCCGTGCCCCAAGAAGATGCAGATCAACATGACTGGCTTCCTCAACGGTCGCAATGCCCGCCAGTTTATGGGCGAGCTGTGGGCACTGCTGCTCTCCGCGCAGGAAAGCGACTCGGGCATACCCGCAGAGTTTATACAGCAGAAGAAGGACGAGATACTCAAGCGCGAGGAGGAGCAGCGGCAGAGGGATCGCTCTCGCTCCCGTTCCCGCTCTCGTTCACGATCTCGCTCGCAGCGTGCCAGCTCTCGCCGGGATAGGCAACGGGACCGCTCGCCCAACGGCGGCAAGTCAAAGTCCCGCTCACGCTCCCGTTCCACCAAGCCGGCTAACAACGGTTCAGTACCCAGTGCAGCCCGCGAGGCGGCGGCCAATGCGGCAGCACGCATCCGTAAGCGCGGCTCCCCGACCGCCCGCCCTTCCTCCAGGGAGCGACGTTCCAGCCGTAGGCCGCGTTCACGCTCGCCGCGCCACTCCCGCCAGAGGTCACGCTCTGGATCGCGAGGCTCTGCGAAGAAGACTGGCTCCACGGAGCCCGCACCCGCCAAGACTGTAAATGGCCGCCACTCGACGGACAAGTCGCCGGCGCTGCCGTCTGCCAAGGGCAAGGCCAAGTCGCGATCACGATCTGGTTCCCGATCCCGATCACCGCGCAGCCGCTCTCGCTCGGGCAGTGCCAAGCGTTCCCGCTCACGCAGCTCCTCGCGTCGCAGTCGACGCCGAGGACGCTCCAGCAGCATCTCCTTGTCGCCAGAGCGCAATCAGGATCAGTTTGAGCATCGGCGCAACAAGAACAGTGTGCAGAACAAGCGGCAGTACCGCAACAATCGCGGCGACTCGGCCAGCTCCATGGAGCGCGGCAACGATCGAGGCAGGCAATTTGGAGGAGGCAATCGACGAGGCGGCGGCGGCAGGCGCTTTTCACCGCGCGGCCGCAGCCCCATGCGTCAGGATAATGGTGGAAACCGTTTCCAGCGCTCCAATTCTCGCCGTCGATCCCGATCCCGGCGACTATCACGATCACCCATGCGCTACTCGCGCTCCCCAAGACGGTGAGTTGGATAATAATTCACGTAATTACCTTTAATTGACAAATTCTGGGGGAACTCTCGCTTTTCAGCTTCAACAACAATCGTCGCCGCTCGCCCATGATGAACTTTAGGGGTGGTGGACGCGGTGGCCGTGGCGGCCAGCATCGCCAGATGTGGCAACATCGTGGTGGCTCACCCAATTTCCGAGGTGGTGGCCGCATCCATTGGCAGGCCAGGCAAAGTCCTGGCGGTGGCCGGGGAGGAGGCGGAATGGGACGCTTCGACAGACGCCAGTCGCCGCAGCAAAACCGTTTCAACCAGCGCGACCACCGACAGTCCCCCATGCATCAGGGTCACCAGCAGTTCCGCAAACAGTTCTCGCCACCCTCGGGTCCTGGACGACGCTTTTCCTCCCCCCAGCAGAGGCGAAACTCGCGCGATCGCCGCCCCAACTCCCGGGAGAGGCGCAGTTCTCCGGGCGGTGGTGGGCATATGAATCGCTGGGATAATCCGCCGCCAGCCAGGCAAAGGCGCTCCTCATCGGCTAGCTCCGTTGAGCGAGCAGGTGGTCGCCCGCCTCAGCAGCGACAGCGCAGTCCGAGTCCGCCAGAGAGGCGGGGGCGTAGCCGCAGTCGTAGTCGCAGTCGAAGCCATAGCCGTCAGAGGAGCCGCAGTCGTTCCAGTCCGCGACCCAGCCGCAAGCGTGAAAGTCCCGTGGGTAAGTGCAGCAGGGAAAAGGGGATTCCTTTCGATCTGGAAATTAACCAAGTCTTAAACCGTTTAGGACGATCATCGGTGGAGTTCGCTGGGCCGGCGCTAAACACCATCGATCTCTGCCGCGAAGAGCAGCAGCGTAAATCCAAGCCAGATGCAGTCATTGTGGTGGAACCTTCTCCGGCTCCTGCCCCGGCTCCAGCTCCAGCTCCGGCTCTCGCCAAGCGCAACAGCTACGCCAGCCTGTCCCGCACGCCTTCTCCGTTCCTTAAGCCCCATGAGCGCCTCGCTGCCAAGGCGGCACCAAAGAAATCCCGCGACCAGAGCCAAAGCAGCAGCTCGGACAGCAGCGCAGACAGCGATAGCGATGAACAGCAACAGCAGCAGCCGCGCCGCAAAAAGCAACCGCCGCCGGCAGCAGCCGAGACTGCAGTCAAAGGCAAAGCCAAGGAGAAGGCGCGACGCAGCTCGGACAGCTCCAGCAGCAGTGATCAGAGCGATGACGAGGATAACTCCAGCGGCGATGAGCGCCAAAAGAAGAAGAAGCAGCAAATGCAGAAGGAAAAGGAGAAGGAGGCGGCAGTAGCGGCAGCGGTCCTTAAGGGAAAGGAGCGCGAGAAGGAAAAGGAGAAGGATAAGCGACGATCGGAAAAGAAGTCCAAGCGAGCTGTTACATCCAGCGGGGATGAGGATGAGTCCTTGGGCAGCAGCCAACGCAAACGCAGCCACAAGAAGCCGCGAAGAGACGAGGCTGGTGAAGACGCCAACAGTGACTCCGAAGACGAGGCAGTGGCAAAGAAGAGCAAGCGCAAGAAGGCCAAAAAGGCGGCGGAATCGAGCGACAGCGACTCCGAGGCCTCCTCAAGGCGAAAGCATAAGCATAAGAAACACAAGAAGCACAGCAAGAAGAGCAAGAAGCATAAGAAGCACAAGCGGAAGAGCAGTGCCGGCAAATCGCGGGCGGACAGCAGCTCCGCAGGCAGCAGTGACGAGGAGGAGCAGCAGTCGACCGCCAAACGGAATGGCACAGGCAAGCTGCCGCTACTGCTAGCGGGCGGATCGGGGCCGGGGATCATTAATGAGGACCTGGAGAAGCAGCTACGGGAGCGGGCACTCAAATCGATGAAAAAGCTGGACTGAACGACAGACTAAGTGCGAGAAAATTGGCCCTGCCCTCTCTACGCCACTCATTGACATGGAGACACACATTCACTCATGCCGCACACACTCACCCCCGCCCTCCCCACACTCACACACAGACAGACGTACGTAGCCATTAAAATAGATTTATACATTTAAAGCAAAAACTATACATTCATTAACTGCATACATTGTAATTCTTAAAAATGTATTTCATATAAAATTAAGTTCTTTCGCCTAAACGAGAAACCGTAGCGTCTAAACTAGCGAGCGAATGAATACAGTTTGTATTATGTACAAAAACTAAAGCAAAGAATAATGAAGGGAAAACCAATTAACCATTTATAACTATTTAGCCCCAAGAGTGGTTTTAAATGCATCAATTTCACAGACACATACATAGGCAAGCGTAAATCCGTTTGGCAAATTGTATTGTTGCCGCAGTTTAATTTATAAGTAGGTTTTACAGATTGTAATTAATAATGCCTGAAACGCTGATTGTGTGTTTGAGGGGCATTAACTAATAATGAGAAAATAAAAAGTAAACAATTGTAAAATTAAAAAAAAAAAATAACTGCCAGTCGTCTTATCGGTGTGCCCAAGCGGTTAATCGAAATTTTTAGGTGGGACCAGGTGATGCCAAAATCTATCGGAGTATCGATTGACTCACGAATAGCACACATCTCAGCTGCCGATATTTTTTGTGATTCAGGCCATAGCTTGCATATATTTTCAGTAATTCAGAAGTCAAAGGAATACCCAGATTAATGCTGAAAGTTTACGTACTTCAATATATTTGAAATTTTCAATAGATCAATCAATCGTCGGTCGTGTTTTTGTTTTGCGCTCCGAATTTTTGTGTTTATCAACACTATTTTTTGTGCCATCGATAGCTTGTCACCTCTGACTGGCTAGGACTTATTTTATTAGCTGGCATTCAGAAAAAATAATCCCTATATAATAAGGCAAGTTGGATGAGTTTCTTCTTGTTTTATAAAATCTGTATCATATATAAAAGGAAAAATATCAAAACAAAATTATCGCAATATCGATTTTTCACGAACCAAAAAATATCGATATATTGATATATTATCAACAACCCTAGCATCAACTTCCTTTTCCTTTTGTATTGCAAGACGGACGGTACGTGTATTTTTAATTCGTTTATATTTCGGCCATCGGCCTTTGTTATTGTGAGCCGGCATTCGAAATGGGCAACCGAGGGACCTATAAAAACGGCTGCTTTTGTATGCGGAGCCCGGCGCCAACGGATTTTCTGTCACTGAAGCCGCTTTTTGTGGGGTCGCCCGAATGTTTACACCAAACTAAAAAGTCGATTGTTCTTATTTTTTGCAGTGACCGCCCGTTGAATATAGAGAATCAAACAACATGGTGAGTTTTGTTTAATGATCAGAAAGGAGTCTCCAGCGGAACGGGTGAACGAGAGCCTTTTTCGCCGGAGAATCTTTGGATTTGTTGTGGCGCCGGAATCTGATAATTGAACTCTTTCGATTTGTCTTACAGGCTCGTGGCCCTAAGAAGCATTTGAAGCGTTTAGCCGCGCCCAAGGCATGGATGTTGGACAAGCTGGGAGGCGTCTTCGCCCCACGCCCCTCGACCGGCCCACACAAGCTGCGTGAGTCGCTGCCCCTGCTGATTTTCCTGAGGAATCGCCTCAAGTACGCCCTCAACGGCGCCGAGGTGACCAAGATTGTCATGCAGCGCCTGGTCAAGGTTGACGGCAAGGTCCGCACCGACCCCACCTACCCCGCTGGCTATATGGGTGAGTTGTGCACAGGGGAGTGTTTGATGGAGATTTTTGTTAAACTATAGTTCTGTTCTTGCCCGATTTGTAGATGTCATCACCCTTGAGAAGACCGGTGAGTTCTTCCGTCTGGTCTACGACGTGAAGGGACGCTTCACCATCCACCGCATCTCCGCCGAGGAAGCCAAGGTGAGTTTAACCCGGACCTTCAGTCAGTTTGTGTTGGTTCTTAGATGAAATTGTGCCGGGTTTTTGTAGTTTACTATTTCTATCGAACTTAAGGGAAAAAGGGCTTTGTCGAAGACCGATTTGTGTTTCAAATAGTGCGTGAATTGGTTCAAAACGAAGCCCAAAGCAATTTTTGATACGACGGTCTCTGGTCTGGCATATTCCACAGTCATTTCAGTAACTTTTACGTGCAATTACAAAATTCAAAAAACGCAAATTCAAGTGTAATAAACATCTATAGTGAGATATAACTTCTTGTGCGGGCTTGGTCGAAGACCGATTTGCGTCTTTTGCAATGCGTTAATTGGTTCAAATCGAAGCCCAAAGCAATTTTTGATACGACGGTCTCTGACTTGGCAACCCAAAGTCATTTCAGTAACTTTTACGTGCAATTACAATTTTTAATGAGTTTTCCCCTTTGAACGATTGTGACTAACTTTGGCATTTATTTTTCTCGCTTTTTGCAGTACAAGCTGTGCAAGGTCAAGAAGACCCAGCTGGGCGCCAAGGGTGTTCCATTCCTGGTCACACACGACGGTCGTACCATCCGCTACCCGGATCCCCTGATCCATGCCAACGACACCGTGCAGGTCGATATTGCCTCTGGCAAGATCACCGATTACATCAAGTTCGATTCCGGTAAGATTTTGTTTGATAGCAACTCCTCTTGGCTGGTTCGAAGACCACAAAACGTTAACAAATCAAGTTGCGTGGTTCAAATACATTTAGCCAAAAGCATTTTTTGTCACGACGGTCTCTGCTTCGGTATCCCACAGCCGTTGCAGTAACTTTTACGTGCAATTACACTCGCAAACTAATATTTTCTTGTTTTGATTTTACTAAACGTACGCTTTTTCCTCTACAGGCAACCTCTGCATGATCACCGGAGGCAGGAATTTGGGACGTGTCGGCACCGTTGTCAACCGCGAGCGTCACCCCGGATCCTTCGACATTGTGCACATTAAGGATTCCCAGGGCCATGTGTTCGCCACCCGTTTGACGAACGTGTTCATCATTGGCAAGGGCAACAAGCCCTACATTTCCCTGCCCAAGGGCAAGGGTGTCAAGCTCAGCATCTCGGAGGAGCGCGACAAGCGTCTGGCCGCCAAGACCCACTAAGAAGAGGACTGGAGTTTAAGGAGTTTTACCTTTTAGCATAACTCTGTACGTTAAGCTACGGAATTACAAGCCAAGAACGTAGAAAATGTGTTTTCTTTGGATCTAACAAAATGCTGTTTGTATATGATTTATTTAGCCTGCGTTTATTGCTAAAGAAACAAGTTTCAAATTAAGTAAAAGGCAACGAATGAAAGTCATTCGTTTTAAGCGTTAAAAAATATAATCAATTGTTTGCTTACTTCCCGCCAAAAATGACTTGAGAGTACGGAATATTAATTCTTTGGGAACGAAAGTGTATATTCTGTGTATTAGGTTATAATTTAAAAACTGCGGTAATTTAATTTTTTATTTTACTTTGCAAAAGGATAATTTCTGAGAGCTTTATTAGGAGGAAGAAAGGAGTTAAGAACAAGATTTTCATCACTAATAATCATTTAAAATAAATTAAAATATTTTGTTCCCACCACGCTTAACCGAAGTTCCCCCATTGTTTGGGTCATATGCTTGCCATATCTACCAGGGATGCAAAGAGACACTGAACTGATTTAATTAATTTATTATTTATTTAATATATATTTATTAAATCATATATATCAGATTTTATTCACTCTATCTATCAATATTGAAAATGTAGATATTTCCACTACCTAACAATTTTTTTTTATAGAACAGTCTTTTAAATTTTATAATACATTACGCTTGCATTTTTTGTTGAAAATTAAAATTTTCCAAGGCAAATAGCAAAATTTCTTTTAGAAAAATTACCATTTTTTTGTAATATATATATTTTTTTAGCAAAACTCCTTAAGAACGGATAATTCTTCATTTATTTTCCATAATTTAATTTGGGGTTTTTAAGTTCAAATTAATATTAAAAATAATTTAAACAATAAAATCAAAAAAATGTTGGTTTTGATTTTCCGAAACAATTTACAAGTCCTGAAATAGGAAATTTCTAAAAAAATAAACGCTTTTTGTTCAACAATATATTTAATTTATTTTATATAATTTAATTTAGGATTCTTTGGTTTAAATTTATAAAAAAGTATTATAAAAACAAATAAATTTTGTCTTCTTATTTTCCAAATGAATGACGAGCTCTATTCTGCCCAACTTTAAATATCTCTGCAGTTTTACGATTTTATTTAAATAATTAATTAATTTTAATTTAAGGTTCAATACTTATGGCCCGCACTGTATCTTCCCAACAGTTGGCATCCCTGGTACATTCACAGTTCGCTTTTCACTTGGCGTATTTTCGCGAGTCATATGGTAATACTGTAACGGTCGCGCCGTGGTCACACTGTTTGTGCGCTGACATTGGAGCTCCAGCGGAAAAGAAGTCGCTTCGAAGTAAGTCCCAGGTCGTTCCAGGTTCGCTGCCAGGCGGAAACCCTACAAGAGTTGTGCCCCAACTGTCCCCTGTCCCCCCCTGCTGGCGGAATCGTGTGCGAGGGGGAAACAAGTAGGGGCCACCACTGTACACACACCAACACAGGCGCACACGCACACAGAGCTGCATCATATGTTGATAAGTCGAGCACAAAAACAATGCCCAGCACTCTGCGCCGAGCTCTTGGCTTGTGAATCATTTGTAGGGATTTGTTTGTTTGTGCGCGGTATTAGGTGTCGCCCCATTTTCAAGCCCCCAACTCCCCACTAAACCCACAGGCACACACACCACCACACACACAGAGAGCAGCAATCATGTCCCAGGCCTTGAACAACCCCGCCGGAGGAGGAGGAGGAGGCGGAGGAGGAGGAGGTGGTGGCCCGCATCGCGACTATGGCTCAACGGCGGATACGGCTTCCACAACGACGCCCGAGGTGAGCTTCGCAGCAGCCGGCGGCTCATCCGGCTTCAGCCCCACGGAGTTCATGTCGCTGAGCGAGGACATTGGCCACAACATCACCGCGGTTCTAAGCAGCACCAAGCAGCTGGAGAAGCAACTCAAGCTGATCGGGACGCCGCGCGACACCGCGGCGCTGCGCGAGAAGGTGCATGCGATCAACACGAAGACCAATGCCCGGGTCCAGACCACCAGCCAGGATCTGCAGCGGCTGCAGGCCGTGGTCCGGCATGGAGATCGCCAGCAGAAGCTGCAGCTGGAGAAGCTGACGCGTGAGTTTCATGGCGTGGTTGAGAAGTACTCGAACCTGCAGCGGCGCATCTCCTCGGCGATGCGCCAGACCCTGCAGCAGGCTCAGGATCTGGCCGAGCACGAGGTGGAGGCCACGGCCCGTGCCGAGCTGCTGCAGCAGCAGCGCCTGGAGCAGGCCGGACTGCAGCAGGAGGTCGATATGCTCGACGAGCGCCGGCGCCAGGTCGAGCAGATTGAGTCTGACATCATAGATGTCAACCAGATCATGACGCGGCTGAGTGGAATGGTGCACGAGCAGGGTCAGCAGATGGGTGAGTCCAGTTTGGGTAACTTAAAAGCCTTCTTTTTTTTTATAAATTATAAACTTGAACCGAATTTTATAAAACATATTTGAACATCGATGACGAGGTGTAGATTTGGTAAACAAACTTAAAGACTGATAAGCTGATAAGAGCTATTTGCCAAGACATATTTATGAAATGAGTAACTTTTGCGACTTAAATATTTACCAAAAAATGCTAATTTCAAAATAAAACCCTCATAAACTAAACCCAAACTTAATTAATTCACAGACTTCATCGAGAACAGTATTGAGCAGACGGCCGCCAATGTGGAGGATGGCACCTCGGAGTTGGCCAAGGCGGCCAGGAGTCGTCAGAGCTACCGGCGCAAGATATTGATACTCCTGGTGATTGCTGTGATAATAGGCTTAATTGTAACTGGCGTTATTGTTGCCAAACTGAACAGTTAATTGTTTTATTTTGTTTTGTACTCATTTATTCACACGCAAAACATACACAACACACACACACTCCCACATGGCATACATACATTTTTGTAAACCGATTTTTATAAGAAACGAAAGATTCGAAATGTTGAAAAAAAACTCTGTTTAAAATAATCACCATGTGAGCAAGAACAACAAGAATGTAGAGGAAAGCTAAGGCGGAAATACAATATTTATAAATATACATATATACACATAAATATATATATATACATACGTAAATAAGGATAAAGAATCCCACTTAAATTGCATATAAACAACAAAATATTCAGCGCTTTTAAATGTTAATTAATGATTTCTTGTTGAAAACAAATGATGATTGCCGCGAACAATTTAAGTTTTGCATTGAATGTGAAATTTTTTGTGTGTTTAGTTTAAAGCAAGCGAGTAAGCAACCAATATATGTTAAATAATTATTATAATTCAAGTTATCATTAAGTGAGAGCCAGCAATCGAAAATAAAGATAAACTGAACAAAAATGAGTAATTTGAATTCTTCAATAAGTGCGCCAAAAGCAGCTGTGGCAACAATCGGAAAAGTTGGCAGCGCCTTCTTAGCGATAGGCCGGCTATCGATAGCAACGGTCACACTACCCGATAACCAAAACAACGTGCTGCTGAATATTTGTTTCTTTTATTTTCTTTTAAAAAATTACGTTTTAACAATGCCTCAGGGAAAATTCAAAAAGGCCAAGATGCCTGCCTCCATGCAGAAGCAGAAAAAGCAAAAGCAGGCTGCCTTTACCCGCCGGTCAAGTGAGTAGCAACCAGTTGGCTGTGTGGAACTCTGTTTTGTATCTGAATTATTTTCACTAGATGCTCCAATTCAGGCCAAGAAGGCCAAGTTCAATGAAACGCAGAAGATCAAGGCCGTCATCTCCAAGTCGGTCAACAAAAGTGTCGAGAGCGAGCTGCGTTCCCGGGCCCACGAGGGCTACATCCAGCTGAGCAAGGCCCAGGAGGCGGTGGCCAAGCACCATGCCACCCAGGCGGCGGCTGCAGCGGCGGCTAGTACCTCAAAACCCGTAGAATAGTTTACATTTTAGGTTTAAATATACTCTTATACACTGTTGATAATTGAAAGAGATGTTTATTGTATAAAGGAGGATTTATGGAGGCAGATTGCAGGACCTTGTTGGAATTTGACCTTCATTAGTCTAAAAATTAATAGAAATTCTTAGCAAGCATCTTGTTTTAAATAGTTAAATAATATTTTGTACAATATTAACTTTAAACAGATTTAATTTGTATTGTTTCTTACAAAATTGGATAAAATTTGTAAGAACAATATTCATTTTAAACCAATTTTGCTTTTAAAACTATAAACAATTTGTTTAAAAATATAAAATTATAATTGACAACCTAGATCAAAGGTTCTATAGCACATATCGACTCTTATGCATGGATTTACCAAGCTTTCTTGTTGCTTTCTGTCGCATATTCCACACAATAATCATCAATATGTTCGTCAAAGGCTCCAAATATTCTTTAAATTTTAGAAAAAAGTCCAATATCCTTGAGTTTCCTTGTATTTTTTTGGCTTTCCATTAGCTTTTTTGAATGCTCACAAAATTGCTCTTGCGTTGTCTCAAGGGCTTGTTGAACAAGCAAGCACTCCCGCAGCAACTTTGACGTTTGCCCAATTTATGGCCGGACCTTTAGTATCCCCCTCTTGGCATAACTTTGGCATTCATTTTCCTACTTATCACAATCAGTTTGTTTAATTATAAAAATAGTTGGCGAACAAACTTTGCTCCGCTGACATTTATTGGACGATTCCTGGTGCAGTTGCTCCGCTCCGCTGTTCCACAGTTCCTCAGTTCCGCTCCTCTAACGACAGCTATTCATGACAAACTTTTTTGGCATTGGCAGCTTTGACGAAGTGAAAAAAAGAAATGTAATAAAAAATAAAGAAAAAGTGCAACTAACAATTTCTATTTAATTTTCGCAACGTTTCGTTTCGTTTGCTATGCAAATTCTGCCCGCTTTTGATGTGCTTTTAATTAGCCAGCATCCCGCACTCACTCACATGCAGCCGGGCAAAAATCCACGGCCAATTGCTTGCTGTTGTTTTTCTCCCTATTTTTTCTTTTATCCATTCCATGCACTTTGATTCCGCCGCGCTTTTCAATCGCATGCAAATGAGCCTCCCCATCGCTCGGCAGGGCGACAGGTGGTGGGCACAGGATCCGTGCCCAAGTCCCGAGTGCACTCGTTTGTCGCTTTTCGAGCGTTTTGCGTTTTTAGTTTAGCACCAGAATTGAAGTGTTTTCAGCATGCAAATGCATTTTGGCACTCAACCTGCAATTGTGCGGGGGTAGACCTTTATGGATTGGCAGTTTTAGCACCGAAGAGGACTCTTAAAAACACCCTAAAATCGAGAGGGAGTTTTAGTTTTATTATCAAGCTTGTCTTAGTTGACAATACTTGTATTAGGTGACAATAAAAACGTAATAATTTTAAATTAATTAAAATGCTGCTCTAAGTATGCTATAAAATATTTGAAATGCCATTTCCGGCAAATTCAGCATTTGAAATATTTCATTGCATACTTTTAGACGCACTTTAAAGATCGTTTTATAATTAAACCAGACATTTCTGAGTTTATTTAATATTTAATAACATTTTGTAAATGTAAACAAAGTTGTAAAAATAATAAATATATAAAAATATAGGCTAAGCCATCTTGTAATTTTATATATTAACTACAGGTCTATATATATTTTATTTAAATGCAAATAGCTAAAATATTAAATATTTTATTTAGTACTAATATCAAAATTAAAAATGATCTCGTATTGGATTTTTAAATATATTAAAATTATAAGAAAATATAGTATTTAAAACACTTTAGTCCCGCACCCGCCTTGTTTTAGAATTTTAGAGTATCATTTCCGCTTTTTTTTTTGTTCTAAATCCTTCTACGCTTTTTTGGGGGCTTTTAGCATGCCGTTTCACTTGATCAACTGTCAATCTGTTAGGCACTCTACAATTAGAGAACAGATTGCAGTGGAAAACACTTGAAAATTGATGCCAAATCAAAATGCTTTTTGAAAAAAACCCAACCATTTCTCATTTCAGTTTAAACCTGCTCTGGAATCTGTGTTATTCCCACTACAAAGAGACCCCTCTTGGGCTTTTTAATTGTATGGCTTATTTAATTGAGCATTGCATTTTGACCGCATTTGGCATGAATTGATTGATTTGCCATTCCAGCCACTCATCCATCCAACCGACCATCCCAACCGACCATTACCCAGGCCCACGGAGCTTAACTCAGTCCATTTAATTAAAATATATTCCGAACAAAAGGAGCGACGGACACCTTTCACGCACTCTCACACACAAAGGATATAAAAAGGTCGTGTCCAGAGCGGAAATCACACGGTCCAGCATCCTTTTGCATTTTCCATCATTTAAATGATGCGTTTGTGTGTTTGCTGCGCTGCCTTTGCCATTGCGTTTGCATTTGCTGGCTGCTGCCTTTGGACGGTCGGCGAACTATTTGAATACCGATGTATGGTGTGTCCCACTGCCGGACATTCCAGGTAGCTGCTGCATAAGGCCTGCAGCAGTCTGTGCACTTGAAAAAAAAATATTTAAGAAAATGTCAAGCCTAAAAAAATATATTCCAGATTTTATAAAAACAATTTCTTACAAATTTTAAATTAAATAAAAATTGCTTCCTGTAAATGTTACTAAATGCTACTAGTAAAATGTAATTTAAACCTGAATATATATTTTTTTTGTATATTATATTCTATGTAAATTATCAGAAAATATATTATTATTTAAAGTCTTTTAAATTATAATTAAAAATACTCTTATTTTTAATTATATAAATTAAATATTATTAGTTCAAAAGTGTGAACTAGCGACCTAAAATCCAAACCTTAGATATTTTGATATCTTTTCATAACTATTATAAATTTAATTTAGTACTTATTTTTCTATGTGCATGGCTACCTCGCTTACCTGTCCAGGCCAGCCGCTGCGCCGTCTCATTGTGTGCGGGGCGAGCATGTAAATTTGTCCAACTGCAAAGGCAAACACTTGAAAAGCGAGCGAAAGAGGACCACTGCTGGCGGCCACCTGCGGCATTCCACACCACACACCGAACCCAATGCCAAACCCAAGCCATTCGATTCCATTCTTATTCTGCCTCCCAATCCCAATACCATTCTCATTATTTTCTTTTTTGTTTTCCAGTTTTTTTTGCATACAATCGAACGCTTCTTTGGTTCCTGGTTCGAATTCTATGTCCTGTCCGCTCTGTCTGCGAATTCTGATTTATATGATGAATGACAATGAGCAGGGTTTTGTCTATGTTTTGGGTATTAAGTTTTCCGCTTTCGGGGTTCTTTTTTACACCTTTCATAGGGGGATTAATTTTTGGAAAGCAGACTGTAGGAAACATCAATCAAAATTGTGTTGAAACCAAAATTAGAAAAGTTAGAAAATGTTATTAAAAACCAAAACCAATAAAAAATGTAGCCCACATTTTTAAATTTTAAAATTGTTTAGCTTTGAAAAATTCTAAGAATTCAGTAATTCATATTTAGAATCTCCCTAGATCCTCGACTAATAGCTAAGCATAACTGATTCGCTTCGGCAAGTGATTTCATTCAGATTCTCCTCCATTGCTATATCTTCTATATCGCTTCTATCGTTCTGCTAAATTCCCCACCTATTAACCTGAGTTCCCCCGATCGATTCACCTGCACTGTTAATGATCAATGTTTGAGCCACGATACCTATACGAAAATTATACCTTTAAAGGAAGAGAGTGGAGAAGGGCAACGAAAATTCACCTGTCCACACGGATTTCTAACTTTTAATACATAAATTAAGGCTTTAAGCCGAAATGCGGAGGGAAAGGAAACCGAAAAACACAAAGCAATCCACAGCATTAAAAAGATAAAGACCTGCCCGGGCATTGAGATATTCCACCTGCAGTCGTCGCAGTGGCAAAGGCAGTGGCAGTGGCAGTCGCCAGTCCTCAGTCCTCAGTCCCCAGTTCCAGATCAACAACATATAATAATCCCATCAGCATTTTTGGATACGCTTTGCAAATGAATTGTAGAGCGGCGGCATTCCCGGTCCCAAAACCGGACTCAACACATCCGCGGCTCCGAGGAGAGCGTGGATAATAATAATGTGGAACCGAAAATGAGCCCGGGACGACTGGTCATCCACTGGAGGTTCTGCATTTGCACCTGCAACGGATCGGGGAACTTTGATGGGCCTCACTTGCGTGGCTTATAATTAAATTGGACTTGTAGATACAATTTGATATCCTCGCCGATGTGCTCCATAAAGCATATGAGCGCGCCAAGATTACATAATGGTTTCTGACTCAAATGACGTACATTTCCATATCCAAAAGGGGGGACTTTTGTGAGAACTTCTTAGTAAATATAACTGAAAATTCGGCAGAATTACCCCTGTAAGCCTTGGCTATCTGAAATGGTTCTTAAGGGGGAAATGTTCAGAGTTTTTATTTTGAAGGTATGTCATAAATATGCTAGGAATGACTTTGCATTAAAATAATTAAAAGAAATACATTTCAGATAAAGCTGACACAGTCTAAGACCTGCTTAACGAACCGAATCTAAAAAGCCGGCATAGTAAAACATAATAAAATGTTGTATTTTAGGGCTATATTCTGTTTTTAGACAAGACTCAGCTATAAAATAAAGGTAAAAGCATTCGGTTAATACAAATAAGAACAAGAAAGAAAGCTAACTTTGGCCAGCCAAAGTTTGTATACCCTTGCAGGATTAAAATATATCATAAATAAGCCAAAAATGCATTAATTTCGATTCGGAAAGCAGTTTTGTGTTAGTTTTTATTAATTTAAAAAAACTGCATACCAAATTTAAAATTTTAAGAAATCAAAATTTTTGGCCATTTTTGCTAATTTTAATGATGTAACCCCTTATCAAATTTCGCAAAAATGGCAAAAAAATCGATTTCTTCCGGACATGTCTAGAAAGATTCGCATGTTAATGCTGATCAAGAATATATACCTATGGTTTATGGGGTCGGAAATGATTCCTTGACTTAGAAAAATATTATTTTGTGTTATAAAATCTGATTTTTTATATTAAAAAACTTCTTTATTTTTTTTAAATTAAAAATATCATAACTCGGCCAAAAGAGCATTAATTTTAAATCGGAAAACTGTTCTGTGCAAGATTTTCTACAGTTAATAAATCTGCATACTTCATTTAAAA